TGTTAGAGTATGTGCATAAGGAGGATGAACTTTCTGGCGATAAGCTTATTTCCATACAGGAGTCCACTAAGGACAAAGCTCATAATGAGGAGCTGATTTCGTTCCCTGAAGTATCTATAGACAGCGGTGTTTTTGGTAGTATGCTAGAATCCCAGGATGACAAGAGAGAAGTATCAGAGAACACAGTGGCTGATGATCTAATTGAGTCTCCTACACAAATTAAGGGTGAAGATGAGAAAATTGAGTTTCGCTTGAAGTCAGAAACTGAGACATTTATTGTCAAGCCTAAAGTACTCACAACAGCAAACCCACTTGGTCGGTCTAGAGCTGCTGCTGACCGTGGAAAGGAAGGAGATAGTATGGAAAGAGACTCAGCAGATCAAGCTGGGGGAGCAGCAGCAGCTGGCTCCATAGAGGAAGAGGAGGTCACTTTTGGTGCAGTGTACAACTACTATAGTCCTCCTCCAGACTGGGGGAGGCCGCTGTCCCCTGAGTCTGAGATGTCCATAGAGATTGGCAGCACTGTGAGTGAAGACATAGTTGAGGTAGCTGAGAGGTTCTACACCCCAGGCTCCTCTACTGAAGTCTCACAACCAATTGCACAGTCCTTTCACACTCCGAAGTCTCCCGTGTTCTTTCATACTCCAAGTTCTGATGAATCTGGTGGGTTTAAGACCCCTCAGGAATACCCATTCTCCCCTGTAGAATACAAAAGACCATCAACAGAAGACTCAAGTGAGAGGTTCTTCTCACCTGTTCAATTCCTAACCTCTCCTACTGATGAGGGCATCGAAAAAACTCTATCTGGAATGAATGTGGAAGACAATCAAATCCTCAGCCAGGCCAGAGGGTCTTTGGGGTTGTCAACCCTGCAGGAGAAAGTGCAGGGGATCCCTCCGGCCTTCCTAAAACCTCTCATGAAGAAAAACGTGTTTGAGAATGACACATTAACATTTTATGCTGAGGTGTTTGGCCTACCTTCCCCCGAGGTGAATTGGTTCCGCAACAAAACCCAGCTGGTAGCGGATGACAGAGTTACTATAGAGCGGGATGGTGACAGCATCTCACTAACAATTCAAAATGTCACTAGAGCTGATCAGGGGGAGTATATTTGCGAAGCTGTGAATTATGTTGGCGAAGCCAGAAGTGTTGCTGTAGTGGTCGTTGTATCACAGGAAGTAAGGTTTACACCTGCTGTCTCCCATCAGCACGTCATGAAATTTGATGTGGAGGAAGATGACTCTTCTCGTTCACCATCTCCTCAAGAGATTCTGCTTGAAGTAGAGCTGGATGAAAATGAAGTCAAAGAATTTGAGAAACAGGTGAAGATCATCACCATACCTGAATACACAGCTGACAATAAGAGTATGATCATATCTCTGAATGTGTTACCAAGTATTTATGAGGAGGGTGCTGTGGACTTTGTCACCCAGGAGCACGATGACTTGAAAATAGCATTTGAGGTCACCGAGATGCCCCCACGGTTCATCAATCCAATCTGTGACATGGAAACCCCAGAAGGCACCACTGTAATGTTTGAGTGCTCACTTATGGGAATTCCATCTCCCATCGTATCCTGGTTCAAAGGTGATAGAAAAATTCCTCAAAATAACAAAAAATACTTGCACTTTTCTGATAGTGACAATCATTTCCTGAAGATTTGCAAAGTCACAACACAGGATAGTGGCGTGTATACTTGCAGGGCAATCAACATTGTCGGAGAGACTCTATGTAGGGCTTCCCTAGTGGTGTTAAGTGCCAAGGATTTCTCGGGAAAGACCAGGGGCAGGGAGCTGACCGCTGTGTCCCTCGGCAGTGCCAAAGTCCAGCCCCAGAGGTTTGACTTGATGGTTGGCAACACATCATTTGATGGTGAACAGGTGTCAGAAATTGAGCTGGAGTTTGATTTTGAACAAGAAGCTGATGAGTCACAGCGGGCAGTCAGGTTGGTGGCCAACACTGACAATAAAACAAGTGAAGAGGGAGAGAAATATGTCAGCATTGACTTTGATGTATTTGCTGACAGAGCAAAAGATGAAAAGATAGAATTTAAAGGTAAGTCCAGTGATATATGTAGCTTCCAGTTTCAGGTGACTGAGACACCCCCGAAATGTATCATACCATTGACTGATGTAACGGCAGCAGTGGGGACACCTGTCATTCTCCAGTGTCTGGTTAATGGTAAGCCAAACCCCACTGCTGAATGGTACAAAGACGGAGACCGTATCACAGATAGCAGGTATATAATCCAGGTGAAAACTGCAGGCCACTTCAATCTGCTCATTACTAACGTGACCCAGAGTGATGCTGGTGAATACAAGTGCATAATCCAAAACACAGCTGGCTGCATTGAAACTGCAGCACTGCTGAAGGTGTTTTAGAGGTAAAGGTGCTGGGACAGGTCATATATTCATATCTTGTGTTGTATCTAAATTATGCTTTCACAGTAGAATTAGATTTTGATTTGGGGAGGAAAAAGATGAATGAATGAAAAACAGAGTGTGAAGGAAAAGCTTATATTCAAAGAGACCGCCTGTGCAATTTATCTATACTATATATATATATATATATATATATATATATATATAGCACATGAGGCGTAAGTTTTCAGTAATCAGTAAGATTTCTTTACAATATCTGATTATATGCTACAGGCACATTAAACCCATGGAGTACAGGCTCTACAACTTAAAGCCAAGTGCTGCCTGTTAGCAATCTTCTAGAAGTTTGCAGATAAGACTGGATAGAGGTTGAATGAAGGAGAAACATTATTTTTATAGAGAACTTTTATAGACAGCATAAAAATGTCATATTTCTCTGATAAGAGAATGTTTTCATACTAACTAGTTTCTTAAAATTTTCTTACTGGTTTAGGATTGTGGCTAACAATAATATGGTTACCAGTCATACATATAGGACATGTCTAAGAACAAAGCTAGCGCTCAAATAACTGAGTATGTATGTAGTAAATGTTTCTTTTAGCGTGTCAGTGACGGTAATGTGATACTTTACACTTTTGTTCAACAAACATGGCTTTATGTGTTTCTCTATTTTCTGGTAACTCTTTGAAAGCAACATTATTACCATAATGTCTTTACAATTCAGTGACAAAGTGTTGCATCCAAAATCTAAAAATGTTAGCAGCCTGTTTTTTTTTTGTTATTTTGGTGTTAAGAGAAATTTGCACTAATGGAGATGATAGCAACAACACTATTATTTGTATTAGGCAAATTCTTTGTATCAGGCAAATATCACAAATACAAAAACCTGTGTGTTTGCTCAAAGGCAGCACCTATGAATAACTAACAAATAAAACATCATCTTCTAAATATTACTGATATGCATCGGTGAGTTCGTCCCAGCCCTAACAACGCTAAGACAACACATTTTAAGCAGTGATCTTATCACAAATCAATTTGGAAACTTGAAGCTCTTTAGTTTGGATGAGACAGAAGTTTTTCTAGCAGAGTTTTTCTTTTTTTGGATTTTGTGTGATTCTAAGTTCTTGCTGTTTCTAAATGAAATTTATGGCTTTTTGAAGCATTTTTAAATGTCACAGAAGAGCAACTTGATAACTTATTTTAAAAGTAGATAATACTGTGAAAAATCTTTTAAAAACAAGTTTGGCATCTTGTAAATATGTGTAATTTTAGGGGTGTATGAATGTTTACCCAGTAAAATGCAAGATTCTGATATTAAGGTTGAAATCTTTCATTTATATGTACAGCTGTCATCTTGGTTTGTCTCAGTTTATATAATAAAATTTCTGATGCAGTCTGAGCTTGCTTTTTTAAACCAGCTTTCAAATGGATGATTTATCACTATGAACATTAAAAGAGAAAATTAAGTCATTAAAAGTGATGTTTTGTAGAAAAGTTTGCTGAAAATTCCTGATTCTGGGAGTCATACCAAACAGTCTTTATTCTGTGCAACATTCCAGAATGAAAGACAAAAATATTCAAGAAAATATAAATGCATGAAATACAGTTGCCTTATATGTCATGAATAAGAATGTAACAGATGATAATTATATACAGACTAATTGTCAATAAAAATCAAAGAAAGTATTTAAAAAACTTACTGAATTCAATGCACTGAGTTAATATTTTTATTCCCAAATTCAAGCTGCACACTGACTTACGTGAGAAATCAGACATTAATCAAGCATTACTGGAGCTTAACTGGTAATCTGGAATATTGGGTATTTTCCCAATGGGCCGTGCACTTTTGAGCCGATGGGTCAATTAAAGGGCCGCTACTAACCAGCCGTACAAGTACTGACTTGACCATTCATTTATTTTCATTACTGATACTGCATTGCCCAATCAAATCTCTTAATGCAACCAGGCCCTCCCCAACCTTCACTGTGCGCACACCATGCAGAGCAGAATTTAGTGTGGAATAAGTGGTTAAAAAACAAAAGCTAAAAGAGAAAAAGAATATCAATTATCAAAGAAAAGAAAATATATACAGAATATACGTAGAAGAAATTTTAGACATAAAACAAATTTCAGAATTATAAAAAATTGATACTAGTTCTGCTAATTAAGGGCAGCTGTGACACAATTCTTGCACTAGGTGGTGGTCTGATAAATTAACACTGTAAATGGGTCGAAAGTCAAAAACAAACCAGAATGGTCAGAGCGTTTGTGTTTCATGTAATTGTTAATAGTTAATGTGCTTATTGTAGTTTTGTCACATGTCCTAGGATTGTCCTCATAATTACTTCAGCAGCTAAAGCAAAATTTTAATGTTTTTAAACTGAGACATTATTATAAGACTTTTCATTATTGTAATTTAAATATAAAGATATGTTTGCTTTCACTTTTACAAAGCAAAATACGGATTGAACTCAACAACTGACTGCAAAAGTCCTCTCTGCTGAGATTTGTTTTACATGAGGACAGTCCTAATATCTGATTTTGTGAATGAAGTGCTAAAACCATAGCTGCTGTCTTTGGATATTATTATCCAATGTCCTGCTCAATATTTCCTGACAGAGGAAACCACCATCACCACTGTGGAAGAACAAGAGGAAACCTACTACACTGGTGTCCAGTTACCACAAAAAGCTAAAACACTTGAACTCAAGCCAGATTCTAAACTTTACTCTTCCACTTTAGAGAAAAAAAAAGAAAAGCCCGTTTTCCTTACTCAGCTCTCCGGAGCAGCTGTAAACACGGGGGAAACCGCCAGGTTTACAGTTAGAGTATCTGGCTTTCCAAAGCCAACTGTGCAATGGTCTCACAATGGAAAGGTTGTAAAGAGCTCTTCTGTATACAAGCTGATAGAGGAGAAGGATGAGTACACACTGGTTATCACCCAAGTCACGTCTGAATATGAGGGCAAGTACTCGTGCACTGCCACGAATAGATTTGGCCAGACGACATGCACCACATACCTGGAGGTGAAAAAGCCTGAAGCCAGCCAGGCAGAGAAATGGGTTGAGAAGATGTTTAAGCTCACAGCTCAGCCTGCTAGTTTCACACTTCAGATACAACCCGTGAGGTGCTCAGAAGGAACAGAGGCTTCTTTTAATTACAAAGTCAGTGGTGATCCGGTCCCTGATATAAAGTGGTTCAAGGGGCCTTTCCAGATCCAGCCCAGTAGAAACTGTACCATTAGAACCAATTCAGATGGATCTGGTTTCATCATTATTAAGAATGTCAAACAACAGGACAGTGGCTTATACACATGTAAAGCCTCCAACCAATTTGGTGAGACCGCTTGTAGTGCAGAGCTTGTTGTATTCAAAGAATCAGTCTCTGCTTCTCACAAACAGGAGACAGCTGTTCAGAAGAAAAGTTACAAGGTTTTAGTGACAGAACAAGCAACAGAGTCACGCTTGTACCAGGTCAGCCTCCCAGGCCAGGATAAAGCTAAGTCAGATCAGATGGTTTACACCATCGGCACAGAAGATCGGCAGATCATTCCCAGCGAGCAAGTGAGCTCCCTTAGAGAAGTAGATGTCTCCACTGCCACCGTGTACTGTGAGAGGGTTACCCACCAGGCAGCAATACTTCAGGCACATGGGACAGAGGAACGGGTGTCTGTGGTTCCTACTCACCCAGACCAAGTGTCAGCTGTTCCTGCGAAACAGCTTCACATGGCAGCATTCACATCGTCTGTTGAAGAGAGTCAGGACCTCACAGAGCAGCACTGTGATGACATTCAAAGGCCAGATCTCATTGAGCTTCAGGCAGTCAGTGAAAAAAAGTCAAAACAGAAGTTAGCAGTTGTCGAGGAGCTCATACCACTTTCTGCTGTTAGCACAGAGCCACTGGGTGACAGGAAGTCTGCTACTGTTAAAATCACTTCAGAACCTAAACATCTAGTCAGTGGTCATCAAGTGAAAACACAACTGTCAATCCTGAAGGAGGAGTCTCAAGAGATCCCCAAACCACAGGAAGAGATGGGTTATAAGGTTAAGGAAGGTATTAAGATTCTATATTCGGCCCAGTCCACAGAAAAGCAGGTGCTTGCAGAGGGTCACACAACGGAGTTAGCAACAGCAGAATCTGCTGTTAAGTCTGCAATTAGAAAAGAACATAAGCCACCTGTCACAGCTTTAGTGAACGAGTCTAAGCAAACTCTTTGCAAGGAGTCAGAATTCTCTATTCAGAGGCCTGCTGAGGAAGCAGCCCATATCTGTAAAGATACGATGATGAAAGCAGCTCTAACTGCTGAAGAGACACGAATGCTGCAGGGTGAGTCCACACAGTTGCTTCCTAGTCTAGACAGTGCCATGTCCATTAAGTCCCAGATAGAAGGAAAGCAGTTGTTACACCTGCAGGTTATAACAGAACAGGACCTCCTTCCATCTGAGAAAAGACTAACATATGAAAAACCAACACCAGAGCACGCAGGGACCAGAAAGAGTCCCACTTTGCTACATACTGTTAGTCAGGATGAGCAGAGAACAGTAGTTTGTGAGGCTACATCAGAGTTTGACTCCAAGGCAGACACTATAACCATAGAGCACCAGAAAGAGGCCCCTACCCTGCTGCATCTCCAGTCAACCCAGCCTGTGGAGGTCCTACCCAAAGAGGGCATTCTCACAGTTGAGAAGCCTGACCAGCTGGTGGCAATGCAGAAACAAGAAAAGGCAAGAAGCCATGCAGCTCTTTCAGAAGAGAAACCAGAGCTCACAGCTGATTTTTACTCAGAACTGGATTTGTCCTTGTCTGGAGTTCAGTCTCAGTCTCGAACTGAGCCCAAGCCACAAAGTATCCTCCAACTGTGCTACCAGCCTGTGCAGTTGTCAAAAGAGACACCAGTTAGCACAGAGTGCAAGCATCAGCGAGCTCTACTACAGAAGGAGGATCGCTGGAACGTGATGCATGTCACTTCTGTGACAGATGAACAGGCTTTGGAGGAGGGCCACACAGATCATTTAACAGCTATAGACAGATTCACATGTCAGACAACAGTAGAGCCAAAAGTACCCACTGAGCCAATCCAGATTGAGGAGAAAGAGATCTCCACTGAGAGTAGTGTCTTTCTAAAGGCAGCAGAACAGGACTTTGCTGTTCAGATCCAAGAGGGTCAGTCAGTCAGGCAGTCAGTAATGATGGACGAGAAGCGAGTGCTGACAGGTGAATTCTCTCAAGAGATCACCAAGTATGAGACCACCAAAGTTGCTGTTAATGCACAGCAAAAGTTGTCCCTTTTGGCACCAGAATCTAAAGATATTACAGCTCTGCCTAAAGAGATGACATTTGTGATCCAGATCCCTAAATCATCCACTTCAAATATACAGCGTCAGCTCAGAGATGCTCTTCAGTCTGCTGTAGCCAGTGAACAGCCAGTGTTACTAGCTGAAGTTGTAGGATACCTAAACGCTGTAGAAGTACAGGAAGTCAAGCTTCAAAGAGAGCCCAAGTGGGCCATGTTCACATATCTGATCACAACAACAGGTGCCCCTGTGGAGATCACTCTAGCTTTTGAGGGTGAATACCCTCAGACAGCTGACCTCAGGACTGAGGTTCAGGCAGCATTTCACTCCATGGTGTATCAGGAGGCCCATGTTCTTACTTCAGAACAGCAAGGTACTATGCAACTAGACAAACCTCAGAGGGCACAAGCCACCTCAGCTCGCTCTAGCGAAACAGTGTCATCCATGGTAAAGACTGTGAGCGTGACAGAGAGCACAGCGGATTTTACTGCTGTTAAATCTCATTCTGCATCACTTCAAACTGAGTCTAAAATGGCAGTTGAGCATGCTACATTGGAGGAACAGGTTGTAGTGCAGGAATCCATGGACACAAAGGTAAAACGGTCATCCCATATCAAAATTCAAACTGAAGGTCACATAGCTTCTGAGCAGTCAGAGCAAGTTTCAAGACAGGAGGTGAGGTCAACAATCATTACAAGTCAAGAAAAAGATGTAGAAGTGTCTATCATTACCACTTCTACTACCACTGAGCAGGCAGTGGATGTCAGCATTTCCAAAGAGGGCATCGAAGTATCCAGACCAGAACTGAGAGAATATCCTGTAATTGTTAATTCTCTCAATGACATACTGATAGAAGAAGATAGTAGAGTAACCTTCAGCACTACCATTAAGTACGTCACAAAGGTTAACTGGTTTTTCAATGGGCAATTGGTGCAATCTGGCAAAGAGTTCAAGTGTTCCAAAGACCATGACACGTACACAATGGTTATCAACAAAGTTGTCAAGGAGAGGCATCAAGGAGAATATGTTTGTGAGGCTGAGAATGAAGCCGGCAGGACAACAACATCTTCAAGGCTCACTGTGGTCTCAAGAGGTTTGATAACAGGACAAATCTATGTATCATTCACTCATTCATCCAATTCATTTTCTTTGACAGCAACTAATCATTCAGTGGATCATTCCAAACCTTTGTCTTCACATGAATATATGCATTTGTCACCTTGGTTCCTCTATTCATTTCATAGCTTGGCATGAGCAGTCTAAGCAGGGCACTGGATGGTACTAACTCACTCTCTTCTTTTTTCCACATCATCTTGGTCAGTATTTCCTTAAAGGCCAGAACCATCGCAGTCGTAATGTAATTTTATTTCTGAAGTGCATAAGCTTCTTGCTATAATGTTTGTCATGATCTGGCCATTAGGATGTTTACATTGGCATGCAAGTGGCACCAGACTGCTTTGTTTTAAACGTGTTTTCCCATGATCTGTCGCCATTCTCCACGTCCACAATGTCTCTCTGCATGTTTTAAGGGCTTCAGATTGCCTCATCTTTCACAAACCAAGAAAATCACGTACACTGATATCATCTTCTTTCAGGCTGCTTTTGGTAAAACCATGGGGCTAATGTTCTGGCATTTTTTTGGTTTTGTTTTTCTCCACAGTCACCTTGGCTTGCCATCCACCCTTATTGTACATTCCACCATTCCTTTTCCTAATCTTTTGTTTGTTTGTTTTTACCTAAAGAGTAGCAGTAAATTTCATTACTAAAATGTGCTTTTTTTGTCTGTGTCTGCAACAGTGCCCCCTGTCTTTAGGCAGAAAATCACACCTCTGGAGATAAATGTCGGCAGTCACACCAAGTTTGAATGTGAGATTGAAGAAGCTCCGGACGTGGCGTTCAAATGGTACAAATCTGGCACCGAAATCAGACAGAGTGAAAAGTATCGGATCGTCAGCCACCACACTAGTTCCTCTTTAGAGCTCCTGAACCCTGTCAAAGCTGATAGTGGAGAATACACCTGCAAAGCTTCAAATCAACACGGCACAGACAGCTGCACTGCCTCGCTCATTGTCACCGGTAAGATCCCAAAAGGACCTCATTTAAATTATCGCTATGCATATATGTGTTTGAGAGAGAGAGAATTATATACAAACACTGTGTTGCACTGTGAATTATCAAGGTCAAGTGTGGAAGGTATGCTTAGTTTATAGCGCTAAGCTGCTGTATTATTTGGCAGTATATCACTATTAAGAAGCAAAATGTTGCCATGTCATATTGATCACTGAGTTGCACAGGTTTATTTTTAATGGTGGTTTTTTAAACCTGTTGAACTTTTTGTGTGCTCTGCCTGCTCTCCATAGAGATGTACCCACCAGTATTTGTATCAAAACCAGACCCAATGACTTTATATGTGGGAAAACAAGCTGTGTTCCAGTGCTCACTTACTGGATCCTCGCCTATGGAAGTTGTCTGGCACAAGGACAACATAACAATTTCCTCTGAAGAGAACTATGTCATGAAATGTGAAAAGAACACGTATTCCCTTCACATTAAAAGTCTTGAACTGACTGATCAGGGAGTGTACCTGTGCAAGGCTTCCAACAGTGTTGGTGTAGCTACTTTTGCAGTAGAACTCAAGGTTATTGACAAGCCCCGGTTTGTTACGGTCATTGAGCCAGTATCTGCAGCTGTTAATGACCCACTGAGGCTGGAGTGCCACGTGAATGAGGACACTGGTGTGGCTGTCACCTGGACCAGGGATGGCAAAAAAGTCCACCAGAGTATGGAGTGTAAACTGTCCTTTGAGGACAAGGTCGCTGTTCTGGAGATCCCCAAGTCCAAACTAAAGGACTCTGGGAAATATGTGTGCACAGCTGCAAACGAGGCTGGCAGCTCCTCCTGTGAGGCTGTGGTAACAGTTCAAGGTAAGATCGTAACGGTGATCTTTCCATTTGCTGTGATGAAAACCTATGCATTTACCTGAAGTGAGGTCAATGTTGACAAGAGTTTTTAGCTAGCTCCAAGCTGATACTAATACTGTGCTGCTGTCTTATGCCTTTTTTGCATTCTTTTTTGCTTTCTTATGTCTTGGTTGACTTTTTTCTATATTTCACCAATGTATAAAAAGTCTTAGTGTTTTTGAACAAAACACTCTTTCAGAGCCCCCTGCCTTTGTGAAGAAAATGGAATCTAAGCTCACGTGGAAACAGGGCATAGCTGCACGCTTACAGTGCACAATCAAAGGATCGCCTGAACTTCACATCCACTGGTTCTGGAATGAAAGAGAGCTGAGTAATGGAGACAAATATAAAATATCTTTCAAGAGTGGAGTTGCTACTGTGGAGATCATGAACCTTCTGGTCACAGACAGTGGCAGATACACCTGTGAGGTGTCAAATAATGCTGGGAGTGAAAGCTGCAGTACTCTTTTAGCTGTTAAAGGTTTGTCCAAGGATTTACTTTACATTTACTTCAGTTCAGACAAAAAACAAACTTTGGCATTAACTGCATTTACTTTACCTATGATGCATAGAGCCACCGTGCATTAGAAAAGACCTGCAGACAGTAGAGGCAGTGAAGGGAGCAGCTGCTCACCTGGAGTGCGAGGTCACAGGAACAGCTCCTTTTGAAATCACTTGGGTAAAAAATAAGAAACCCATCACCAGTAATCAGAAATATAAATTGATTTCCCAAGACTCAATAGCAAGGCTGGAGATTCAAACATTTGACACCACAGATATTGGAGATTATCAGTGTGTCATATCAAATGATGTGGGAAAAGTCACCACTAAGGCTATGGCTAAACTTAAAGGTTAGTAAACTCAAGCCCATCACAGCAGTTGCGGAATCAGATTTAATTCTGTCCATTTTTAACTTGTAATGTGTTTCTGTAGATCCACCAACTTTCTCAAAAAGGGTTGAGAGTGTTACAGCAGTCTTGGGAAATACAGTAAAACTACAAGGAATGATTAAAGGTTCAACTCCCATCACTGTGAAATGGATGAAAGACTCCAAGATGCTAAGAGATGATGATCCAAATATGAAGATGGTTTTTGAGAACGGTGTTGTGAGTTTGTCGATAACAACAGTTGCCATCAGCCATGGTGGCAAGTATTCATGTCAAGCGGAGAACGAGGCTGGGCAACAAAAGTGTGAAGCGATCTTGACTGTGCAAGGTCAGATAGCATCTTTGATGCAGCGATGCCTTTACATATTGTAATACAGGTTTTTATGTCTAAACTCTTTGTCTTATCCCAGAACCTGCCAGGATTGTAGAACCTGCAGAGTCCATTAGTGTGACGGCAGGGGACTCAGCCGCATTGGAGTGCACAGTCTCTGGAAGCCCAGATCTCAAAGTGAAGTGGTTTAAAGATGGGAAGGAGATCATTAGTGGCCGTAAATATAAGATGACTCTGAAGGATAATATTGCCACCCTGAAAATTCTTACTGCAGAAAAAGGAGATACTTCAGAGTATAAAATGGAAGTGGCAAATAAAGTCGGGAAAGACCAGTGCACATGCTCAGTCACTGTTTTAGGTTGGCTGCTGGTTTCAGCTACTTTTGAAATTTCTTAAAACCTTTGTTTTAGCTGTGTGTGTTTACACGGAAAACACATTGTATTCATACATTTTGGGAAATGCATTATGCTATAGCCCTAAAATGTGTGTACAATGTTATTTGCTTTTGGATTTTGCTCAGTGGTTCCTGTCAGTGTGAAACTGCAAATAAATGATTTTTCTTCTTTAACGTCCAGATCGGATAATGCCTCCAGCTTTCACCAAGTCGCTGAAAAGAGTTGACGGTAACATTGATAATCCTGTCTCCATGGATTGCAAGGTGTCTGGGTCACAGCCCATGACTGTGACTTGGTTCAAAGACGACCAGGAGATTGTTTCTGGAGACAAATTCCAGCCTGAATTTAAAGACAGCTCTGCTATACTGAGAATCATGTGGCTAGAAAAGGCTGACTCTGGTGTTTACAAATGCAGAGCCACCAACTCAGCTGGCTTTAAAGAAACCATTGGCACGCTCTATGTGAAAGGTCACGAAGGCTTGGCTTATCTTATGCATTTGGTTTTTTTACGTGTAATCTCTGAATCATTTCATACTAACGTAAAATGTAAATTTGTGTTATTGGCCTCCAGAACCGCCAGCGTTCACAGTGAAACCACACGACCAGGATGTTATTCCAGGAACTACAGTTTCCTTAAGAACAGCATTCACTGGAACAGCTCCTTTAACTGTGAAGTGGTTCAGGGAAGAAAAAGAGATAATTACAGGAGGCACTTATTTCATTAAAAAAGATGCCTCTTCAAGCTCTTTGGAGCTTCACTCTGTAAAGCCCACTGATACCTCGAAATACACGTGCGAAGTATCCAACGACGCTGGGAAGGTAGACTGCACGGTAGTCCTCTTTGTGAAAGGTGCAGTCTTTAGTATCATGCGCAACTTCAAAAACCTGACTTCAGATTATGCCACTGATATGATATTAACCATAAATCTCTTCTTTCTCATACTGAATATTAACCTCTTCTATCAGAACCTCCCGTGTTTGTGAGGAAACCCGAGGCAACCAAGCTCATCACCAGTGGTGACTCTGCCAGGCTGGAGTGCAAAGTAACTGGCAGCCCAGTCATCAGTTTCAAATGGTTCAAGGATGAAATGGAGATCAGTGGCAGTACTAAATACACAATGAGCTTGATCGACTTGATGGCAACTCTAGAAATAGCTAATTGTACAGTAGAGGACACTGGAGATTATGTGTGTGTGGCATCAAGTGAGGCTGGAAGTGACCGTTGCACCTGCACAGTTATAGTCAAAGGTTAGTTTAGTGTTAGTTTTAACGATTTTACTTCTTCTTTTCTTGGTGATGTAACTATTTATATTACATGTCTGTTGTTTTGTTGTAGAACCGCCATTGTTTCTGCGTAGCTTGGAGCACAAGGACGTGGTGAAAGGTTCTGAGCTGATGCTAGAGTGCCAAGTCTCTGGTTCTGCTCCTTTTACTGTGTCATTTCATAAAAACTCCAAATTGATTCGGAACGACAAAAGACACAGGATTACTGTGAAAGATGACCTGCTAGCACTACAGGTTCTGACAGTAGAAACAGGAGATGTTGGTTTGTACCAGTGTAGTGTTGAGAATGAAGTGGGAAGGGCCTCCTGTGATTGTCACGTAACGCTAAAAGGTTAGTTTAGGTGCTTTTGTTGTTAGCTGCCGTAAGCTCTTCTCCTTACATTTCAAAAGGCTGCATTTTAATCTGTATCATATTTTTGAAATCTTAGCAAGCACAGTTCTCTTTTTGTTCAGAAGGAATTTACTTGAGATTGCTCAGCTTTTTACATTTTTCTTTGCAGAACCACCATCATTTGTTCGAAAGCTGGAGAACCTCAGCTCATTGGCTGGCAGTGAGGTTTCTCTGATTTGCAGTCTGAAAGGTTCTGAGCCCATAACTGTGGCCTGGCTAAAAGACAACCATGAGCTCAAAGAGGCTGAAAACATTCAGATTACATATGAGAACAAGACTGCGCTACTGCAGATCACCAACTTACAGAGCAGTCACTGTGGTAAATACTCTTGCCAGGTGCAGAATCAGGCTGGCAGCCAGACATGCTCTGCTATGCTGACAGTCAAAGGTTGGTTAAGATATTAAACTCAACTTTATTTGCACCCTTATTAAAATCTTTGTATGCCTTCACAGGTTGATAAACTTGACTGTTTTCTTGCAGTCCTGTGAAATGGGAAGTGCACCCTCCTTCAATTCTAAGAGTCCACATATTTGGACATAATAAAAATGTAATTGGCCCTTAGTAGGTCTTAAAATTAGGAATTACCATAGGAATTACTGGGGTAAATAGCAGTCAGGAAGGAAGGTATGAATGCATTACAGGGTCCCTAATTGGCAGAAATTATTAATTTAAGCAGCAAATATATATTTAAATATAAACATGTTGCTGTGATCATTATGTTGGCTTGCAAAAAATGTCTCCCTCTGCTGGCATGGCAGCTTACTGCAACATATTGCAACTTTTGCAAGCGTGTCCATGTCACACTTTGAATAATATTGATTATTATTATAATGATTATAATGTAATTATTGGTCATCAGTCACAGTCTTTTAAAACACCATAAGACACAAAGTGCTCAGAATTACAATTAGATTAAAAAAAAAATACATGTAAAGCATATAAAATATTCAAGGTAAGGATGTAGGCTTTTACCTTTTAATCTAAACATATAACAGTATTCCTTATTTTAAATGGTCTTAAATTAAAAATTACTTATATCATCATCTGTGATTTTGCATGTAGACTTTTTGCACAAAGTAGGAACATTTCCATGCACATATTAGTAAATAAGGGTCAGTATTCCCAAGTACACCAGCAAAACTACAACATCATGGCAGAAAAAGAAAATAAAGGTGTTGCAAAGGCTTAGTCAAAGTCCAGAAATCAGAAGATAAGAATTTAGTGATATCACTTATCAATCTTCTTCACATTTCAATTTGATTCTCTTCGATTCTTGCTTCGCTCTCATTGGCTCTCGTCACTAAATAGCACATCAGAGACATCACATTACTTAATTACTCACCGGAGAAAGTCATTCGTTACACAACTCTTTCCATTACTTTCTTGTTGCCTCGTAAAATGCCCTGAAATGTCTCATTAATGCCAGTTAAGAATATAAAAATCGGGCTAAAGTTCCACACACCAACACACATTTCTGTCCTGATGAGAGCAAACATACTCTCATTGTAGCTCAAGAGTTGGGAGTTCGCCTTGTAATCGGAAGGTTGCCGGTTCGAGCCCCAGCTCTGACAGTCTCGGTCGTTGTGTCCTTGGGCAAGACACTTCACCCGTTGCCTACTGGTGGTGGTCAGAGGGCCTGGTGGCGCCAGTGTCCGGCAGCCTCGCCTCTGTCAGTGCGCCCCAGGGTGGCTGTGGCTACAATGTAGCTGCCATCACCTGTGTGTGAATGGGTGGATGACTGGATATGTAAAGCGCTTTGGGGTCCTTAGGGACTAGTAATCGCTATATAAATACAGGCCATTTACCATACGCTCTTTCCTTCAGAAATTAACACACAACGCTGACAATAAAAGCAGAAAAGAAACTTTGGTGGGACATTAAGAAAGTTATGCATAAACAAATGCTGGCAAACATCAGTAAACGGAGTTAAGCGAGAATGTCCTGATATGTGAAACCTTAGAATGAAGGAGTACTTATTTTCACATGGCTTTCTAAAATCTGAATATATTAGCAGGAAGTTTCACTCAAGACAATGAGATTTGACTGAAACATTGATGATTTTTATACTCATTCATGCTTGAAATTACATGAATGTGACCTTGTAAGCTGACAAGAACCAAAGTGTAGAATCTTTAGTGTTCTGTAGGCTCAGGTTGATGGTCTGTAGTTGATGTGTTGTAGTATAGGAAGCTTTAAGATCTTTGCTGACTGGTTTTTTTTTTTTTTGGGACACCCCAGAACCAGCAAAAATCACAGAAGAGGTAAAGTCTATCAGTGTGACTCAGGGGGATCCGGCTACTCTGGAAGCCAGGTTCTCAGGCACAAAACCCCTGAAGGTCAGATGGCTAAAGGCTGGCAAGGAGCTGACCTCAGGCCAGAGATATAAAGTACAGAGCAAAGATACCAGTTCTGTGTTGAAGATTATTAAAACTCAGAAAAGTGATGGTGGTGAATATGTCTTTGAGGTTTCAAACGATGTTGGACAAAGTTCGTGTGATGCCACACTCACCATTCTCGGTCTGTTCTTAATGTCTATCACCTTAGTTTTGTTTAATTTAATCTTGCTTTGTTTCTCACTCGCCTTTTTCTTTTGTCCATGTTAGATCAAATAATTCCTCCGTCTTTTACAAGAAAACTGAAACAGACAGAAGGTGTCAAAGGATCATTTGCGCATCTGGAGTGTCTCGTGTCTGGTTCTCTTCCAATAACCATACAGTGGTACAAAGATGAGAAAGAGATCCAAACCGATGACAAACACAAATGCACATTCTTTGAAAATGTTCCGTTTCTAGAAATCTCCAATCTTGACACTAAAGACAGTGGCAATTATACCTGCATTGCTACAAATAAAGCAGGAACGGTCCAGTGCTCTGGAGTCTTATTTGTGAAAGGTCTGAACACATTTTTGTACCATTGAGCAGATGGATGTGTACAAAGAAATATAGTTAGAAGCATTTTTACCCAGAATTGCTTTGTCTCTGTCTTTCAGAATCCCCGTGCATTCTTGAAAAACCTGAATCCATAAATGTTTTGCCTGGCTCAAAAGTCCAATTTAGTGTGCTGTTCTCTGGCACACCACCACTCACCACCAAATGGTTTAAAAGCAATAAAGAGATCCTGTCCAGTGCTGACTGGTCAGTGATCAAAGATAATACCTCAAGCACACTGGAACTCTTCTTTGCAAAAACCACAGATTCTGGAGACTATGTCTGCCAAATACAGAACGACGTTGGCTCCGCTTCATGCCAAGCAACACTCTTTGTCAAAGGTTATTAATCTTTATGTGAAACTGAGTTGCCAAGTATGCCTCCAGCCATCTGTTGGAGACATTTTTCTCACATTATATTTGACCTTTTCCCTTTGATTCACATTAAATCTCCACTTTTGACTGATAATTCGTACCTAAATTTTCCAAAATACCCCCTTGCAAGTTCCCAAAACTTGCTATGAGTTTGCTTAAAATGTTATCAACACTTGGATGGAAACATACACTTTGTGAATGTGTCCCCCATGTTGTTCATCTGATGGTTTATCAGTCACTCTCTTTTATTCCTTAGTGCCTCCAAAGTTTACACAGATCCCAGCCCGTGTGTCTGTAGTTTGTCCTGGTCAGAGTAAGGTTTTTGAGTGCCAGGTGACCGGCACACCTGAGATTGACATCTACTGGTTCAAAGAAGGCTCTGAAATCAGCCCCACTGATCACTATAAGATGGCCTTTGTCAACTCTGTGGCAACACTGGAAGTCTGTGGGGCTGAGGTTAAACATAGTGGGCTTTACTACTGCGAAGCTCGTAATGAAGCTGGCAGTGAGAGCTGCAGCATGGAGTTGAAGGTCAAAGGTGTGTTGAATCAAAGTACACGATGTTCATTGTGCTAGAATTACAAGAGCATTGAATTCAAAGCAGTGGTTTCCCTCAAACAAAGAGCTAGACTGATCTGATTTAAGTTAAACATAAAATAAACAACAGAGCTATCCAATATTTTTACCTATATGAACTGTAAACCTCTGGACCAGCAAGTATGGACCTGCTGGAGTAGAATAGGTTCATGACCATTTGCTCTCCCTCATTTCAGAACCGCCATCATTTATTAGAGAACTGGCTCGAGCTGATGTTGTGAAGGGCTCCACTGCCATGTTAGAGTGTCAAGTTGCTGGGACGGGTCTCTTTGAGATAACATGGCACAAAGATGGAAAGGAGCTCAAACCCAGTGCTAAACATGCCTTCTCTCAGTTAAATGACACTGTGTGTCTTGAAGTGCACAAATGTGATGCTGTAGATATTGGTGAATATCAATGCACTGTTGCTAACGAGGTGGAAAGCTGTACTTGTAAGACTACACTAAGCCTCAAAGGTTGGTCTAAGCAGAAGAATAATTCTGCATATTTTCATTTGAGGTGAGGTCTTTAAACTTTAATATTTCATTCTTTCCTAATAGAACCACCAACATTCATCAAGACAATTGAGAACACTGCTACTGTTCTGGGTAAAATGGCAGAGTTTCAGTGCATTGTGAAAGGCTCTCCCATCACCTCTGTACAGTGGAAAAAAGATGAGAATTGGATATTGGAGGATCCAAAGATTCAGAGAACATTTGAAAGCAATGTGGCTACACTCCGGATCCCTGCCTGTGAGGCGATACACAGTGGCAAATACACCTGCCAGGTGGTAAATGAGGCTGGGCAGGATAAGTGTTTTGCCACCCTCACAGTGCAAGGTAACTAGTTGCAGCTATAAAATCTTTTTACACTCTGGTTCAGAAGCATTCTGAATTGTTGACTTTGCTTGGGATTTTAGTGCCTCCGCAGATCACAGAGAAACCTGAGGTGGTAAAGGTTACAGTTGGAGATCCAGTCAGTCTGGACTGTAAGGTTACAGGCTCCCCTGAACTCAGGGTGAAATGGATGAAAGATGGCAGGGAGCTCAAGTCCATCAGGCAGCACAAGCTGATCTTTGAGAACAATATCAGCAGCTTAAAGATTCAGGCTGCGCAGACAGAGGATGAAGGAGAGTATGTCTTTGAGGTGGTAAACTACATCAGTAGCTGTACCTGCAAAGTCAAGCTAATTGTATTAGGTTAGTTTCAAAAACACGCCGCTGCTGCTATACATAATAATATGTTCACAAAGTCTAACTTGTGTCTTGGTGTTCTCTTGGCAACAGAGCAAGTAATTGCCCCAAGCTTCATCAAACCCCTGGTAGACATGCACGAGATATTGGGGTCCTTTGTTCAGATATGTTGCAAAATATCTGGTTCTCTCCCCATCTCTGTGGAATGGAAGAAAGATGGAACCAAAATCTCTAGTGGTCTAAAGCACAAGCTCATTCAGCAGGACAACTCTGTGTCCATTGAAATTGAACAGCTAGAGAGATCTGACGCAGGGTTATACTCTTGCAAACTGACTAACGCAGCAGGAAGCTGTGAATGCAGTGGGTCCATCGTGGTCAAAGGTCAGACACTGCTTTTTTTAACATGATTGGTCATATGATCCTAAACCAAAGGTGAGTACATCTTTAACCTTGTTCATCTTGTGTTCAGAACCTCCAAGCTTTGTGACAGTGCCCGAGTCGCAGACAGCTCTACCCAAAGCCACTGCACGCTTCAAAGGCACTTTTAAGGGAACTCCTCCCTTCACAGTCAAATGGTTTAAGGATGACACAGAGCTTATGACTGGGCCTACTTGTTTAATAGGGCTTGATGGGCTGTCCTGTTTCTTAGAGCTCTATTCAGTGGGCGTCACACAGAGTGGAGTCTACTCTTGCCAAGTCAGCAATGATGCTGGCTCCATACACTGTAGTGCAAACCTGACAGTAAAAGGTTGGATTTACATGTTTTAAATCAATCCTTGCAGAGATGTATTTATCTCATTTCTTCATCGCTGGCAATCCTTCAGTTACATTTTGTGTAGCTTTGCAGCATTTTGTTTATTATGTACAGCTTTTCCACTGCTGCTTTTTCTATGAAGCAATATATTTAGCATTTGTATGGCATTCACGCAGCCATTTTGCTTTTCCTTCTAACCCGTCATTCTTGGCTTATCTCATCTGCTCACCTCCTGCCCATCTTAACCATGTTAAATGGTGAGTGTTTCCTCATGCCTCCAGCTGATAACATATCTGTGTTTTGGCTTTCCAGAACCACCTGAATTTCTACTGAAACTCCCTGCCAATAAGTTTTTGAAGCAGGGTGAGTCACTCCGCCTGGAGTGCAAAGTCAGTGGCACAGTCCCTCTGAAAATTACCTGGTACAAAAACGACACCAAAGTTACAGACGGTGGCAACTACAGGACGTCGTTTGTTGACTCAGTAGCAGTGCTAGAACTGGTCTCCACTAGTTTTGAGGATGATGGAGTTTACACCTGTGAGGCTCAGAATGATGCTGGCAGTGTGAGCTGCAGCACTACACTTACCATTAAAGGTTAGCATCCCGTGGACTTCTGAAATATATTTTATTATTCTGATCACAGTGGCTGTTCAGTGTATTGGTGGGTTATATAGCTGTGTTCCACTGCTTAAAGCTGGTATCCATAACTGATTGCACTACTTTATTTAACAATCCAGTATGGTCGAGGGTCATCTGAGGCTTTTCCCTTTCTTGTACTGCTGAAAATGTTAATCTGCAAGTCAAAACAGATCATTTCACTTGAGCCAATACATTTTACATAACGCTTCACACTTACCGAGATGGAACCGTTTAAGTTAACTGTAATGCTCTTTGTTAAAATCCAAGCCATTCTACCTGTAGCTCCAGCAACATATGCTTGAACTTCTACAACTCTAAAGGAATTCACCATCCTGTCTGCAGTACAACAAATAGGTTTTTTTCCACAAACGTGCTGGCTTGTTGTAGTTTCTGATACATTTCTATGATTCCATGATCTTAGCTGCAGTGCAAGATAACATAACATCTCTACACATCTCAATAGTCTTACAATTGTGTCCATTTGTACTTAGAGCAACCGTTTTGGTATAAAAACATATTGAAGGTACATTTCTAAACTCCGACCCCAGTTCCATCAAAGATGAGACACTGTGTAAAATGTCAATAAAAACAGAATGCAGTAGTTCGTACAAGCCCTTATTTTAATTAACGATAGAACAAAAATGACACAGTCTCAGATGTATTTCCAGCAGATTGCGCAGCAGCATACCAAATATGTGTTTACAACTCTAACAGCTCATCTGCATCATAGTTCAAATTCACTTTCCCCAAAATTCCACACCAGTTTAGAAAAATTCCAAGTTCCGTAACAAATTTCAACAATTCCAAAATTTTCACTGAACTTAAACCACACTTAAATTACGGATTTGCTGTCACTACAACTTCCAACTTCATTTTCCACATTTCTTAGAGATCTGCTATTCTAATTGCAGTTCCAACAAATTCTAAGACCCCAGCAAAATTCCACATTCCAATTTTGTGTTAGGAACATGACCCAAACTCAGGACTTTCCTGGTAGCGACTGTGAATTTATTTACAGTATTAGAATAAACAGTGAGAAGCAAAAAGTGTTCAAAACAGTGGGATTTCCAAAATTCCCGTGAATACCTGACAAAACAAGACGTAACGATTTAGTAAACGTTTTCACCAGACGATGGCCTGAGACAGCTTTCAGTGTCCGCGAGCCAACCTTGTGCTAACTTTGCCACTCAGCGATAGAGCGTTGATCGAAGCCCAGCCACACTGTTAAATAGCAGACAGTTGATGAGGATCGCTGGCAGCAGATGGATCCTGATTGAAGAGCAGGTGTGGCTGTTCTTAGCCCGGGAACGCCACCAGCCTGGTGTTGACCGAGAACCGGCACACTGGCCACACACACAAACGCACACAGAGGGAAAGATAAGATAAGATAAGATAACCTTTATTAGTCCCACACGTGGGAAATTTGTTTTGTCACAGCAGGAAGTGGACAGTGCAAAAGTTATGAAGCAAAAATTAGAATACAATAAGAAAAAATACAGTACAGTACAGAAACAGGGGACTAAAAACAAACCACACAAATGACATAACATTAAAAGCAGTTCGACCAGCGAGGACTGACGGACCTTGAAAAATTGTTCCATAAAATTTCCACATTAAATATACAATCTTTTCTAAGACTTAATGTTCTTACAAAAATTCCACCCGTTAATCTATAGTAACGTTTTCAACACTGGCAGCTTTGAGCTTCATTCAACAGTTATGGGTTCCAGTTTTAAGATCTAGATATGAATTGTTTCCCTCGTGTATTCCTCTTTAATGGTTCCATCATCTTTCTATAGACCCCCCATCTTTTGTCAAAATACCCCAGCCTGTTGAAGGGCTGAAGGGTAAGGACGTAAGTTTGTACTGCGAGATGAGTGGTACAGCTCCATTCCAGATCACCTGGTTTAAAGACAGAAAACCTCTCATGGAGAGCAGGAAGTTTAAGCTGGTGAGCGAGGGCAGCTCAGCCACACTGCATGTCATTGGAATAGAGCCCTCAGACGCCGGCGAATACGAGTGCAAAGTGTCAAACAGTGTAGGAAGCGATACCTGCCAGACATCAATTAAACTCAGAGGTCAGTAGAAATCGCGATAGCATTAAATTAAAATAATATAAAATAAAATTAGATTTTCAAATGACTTTGTCACCTTGCTGACTTTGACTTTGCCTTTGCGCTGTTTTTCTCCTCTCTTCAGAGCCACCATCATTTGTGAAGAGACTGTCAAACATTACAGTGATACTGGGAGGGGAGGTGACCCTTGTGGCCACTGTTAAAGGCTCTGAACCCATTACTGTGTCCTGGGTTCAAGACAAGGATCACATTCTCAGGGACAGTGACAACAGGAAAATCACCTATGAAAACAACCAGGTGGCAGTTAAAATCTTTAACGCCGATGCAACTACGGCAGGCAAATATACCTGCCAACTCAGAAACGATGCTGGGAGTGTGGAGTGTTTCGCTAACTTGACTGTTCTAGGTTTGTAATCATATAATTCTCTCTCTTTCTGTTTTGTTTTTCTACCTGCGGCCTGAATGTGTGATTTTAAGTATTTTCTGCTACCTCTCTGTTGACTCCAGAGCCTGCTAAAATAGTGGACAAGCCGGATGCTCTGAGTGTGACGGCAGGTGATATGGCTGCCCTGGAGGTCAAAGTGTGTGGAACCCCAGAGCTCATACCCAAGTGGTTCAAAGATGGTGCTGAGCTGGCTTCTGGGAGAAAATACAAAATCTCATTTTCCCGGATGATTTCCAGCCTGAATGTGCTGTCTGCTGAGAAAGTTGACTCTGGAGAATACACATTTGAGATTATGAATGAAGTTGGGAAGGACCTGAGTAAAATCAATCTCACTGTTTTAGGTAGGTAACGTCTTCGTACCTTGAGCTGGAATATGCTGATCAGTGTGTTCACTCATTACCCCATTGACATGAGGGAAGAGGATTCATTGAAAGTACTTTACCCTAGTATCGTATTTTTCGGACTATAAGGCGCACTGTCGATTTTGGAGATTTTAAGTGCGCCTTATAGTCCAAAAATTATGGTACTTTTCTTGAGAAATGGATACTCTTTAACAGCATTGTTTGTTTCCCTCTGAAACAGATAAGACGATTCCTCCAACATTCTCACGGAAACTGAAAGACTGTACCACTGTTGTTGGAAAACCTTTAGAAATGGAGTGCAAAGTGTCAGGCTCATCTCCTTTTACCATTTCATGGTACCACAATGACGAGGAGATAAAGAGTGGGCCAAATTATGAGATTTCATTCAGTGACAACAACTGTACACTAAGGGTGCTCACGCTGAAGCTGGCTGACTCTGGAGCATACAAATGTAAGGCTGTCAACAAGGCGGGAACCACAGAAACTACAGCCTTCCTGGTTGTTCGAGGTCAGTATCCCAATCCCAGTATCCCAGTCAAAGAAGTCTTTATGTTGCTGCTGTCTGTTGAATGTTTCAGCACCCGTTTCTCTGAGCTGCCTCCAATTAATTCAGTGAAAAGCAGTGGCGTGTCTAGAAAATTTTTGTTGGGGGGGCCAAGAAGGGGCACAGATTTGGAGAAGGGTGGCAGATGTAATTGGCAGATAATGTTAAAAAAAATTTCTACCAACCGTTAACCATAATTCAATAACCCTATAAACCTAAAAAACCGAATGTGCTTTTAACTGTTATTAGAATGAGATTTTAACCACTACGGTGCAAAGTTTTTAGATACTGCGTTGATAAAGTACAAGAGATACAATCAGTGCTTTGTCAGTGTTTATTCAGCATTCAATGACAGCAATATCTGCATAGTAGTTTTACTGACATATAGTGCACATATGTTTTGGGCAAAAACATTTTTGAATATTAAAATACGAACATTTGTAACAAACAATTGGCATATTAGCCAATGCAAAACTTTATCTGCCTGTTAAAAACAGAAGATAATCTTCTCACAAACTGGTGTTTGATTTTGAAACAGGAAAAAAGTGGGGAAACAACTGAAAAGACTAACATTTGAATGAAACCTGAAAGCAAGTAAATACTTGCTATGCTGCCTTATGGTAAACTTTGGTAATATTGATGTATAAAGAACAACACTGGCTGATGATGAAATACAGTCAGCTGGCATGGTGACACTGCCAGTATTAACCTGCAGGGCTGGACTGGCACAAAGAAAATCGGGCATTATGACTAAAGACCGGCCCACCAGGTATTAAAGCCATAAAGCCTTTGAATGAAAACAAACGCTGTGGTGACAGTGATGTACACTTGATATCTTTTTGGTATATGTATGATTTCTATACATTTTACGTCAGATAAAAACTTTGTTCGCAAGATTCAGATAATTATTTATTAAAAGCGAGACATTTTAAATGAGAATAAGAAAGAAAAGTATTTCTTTGTGCCCCCCCTCTCCCTGTTAATGCCCTACCTGCCCCCCTGGTAAAACTTTGCTAGACCCGCCCCTGCACAGTTACCAGCTGTCAGCTACTTAGAAAAGGATTCTGGTGTTATTTGTCTCTCAGAAACAGTTCATAACTTCCCTTCAACTCATTCATGTCACCTAAAAGGTAAACCATCACCTGCTCAGGTCTGATGATTCAGTAAGGACATCTCCTGGTTTCACCTTCATGTTTCCCTCTCACTAGGGTGGCTGCGGCTACAATGTAGATGCCATCACCAGTGTGTGAATGTGTGGATGACTGGATGTTTAAAGCGCTTTGGGGTCCTTAGGGACTAGTAAAGTGCTATACAAATACGGACCATTTAGGATATCCAAACCGACATCATGACCAGCAGCTTTTACAGCTGTGGCTCCAGCAAACATCAGCTGATACTAGAAATTAATATTAAACACATTCTAACAACAGCTGATCAAGCTTAAACGTGCTGCTGTTGTTTAGCGCAACATCCGCTGGTTTCCTCTTTCTGGCGCAAAGTGGGCGATAAACAAACAAGAGAGAAAAGCCGATGAGCTGATCATTGATCAGTTTTATGATTGAAGTAGGAACAGGAGAGGGACAGAATGAGAGAAGAAGAGGCAGCTGTGCAGCGTAAAGACAGAATAACTCCAACTTTGTGTCTTTTTTTCATTATAGCTGAAAAAAACTGTGTCTCTTCTCAGCTCAATACGAAACGCGTAACATTTTCTCTGAATGCGGGACTATTTCATTTTTACGGGACGGTTGGCAACTCTACTAACTAACCTTATGAATAAAGTTCACTATCAGTAACATCATAGCACCTACCCAGCTGTATAGAAAGTTCGTCATGCTAGCTAGCACGCAGTACGAGTTATTGTAACTGACTGTAAAGAGTCAGCACAATGAAAATAAACTGCACCTAAACTTGGTTTATATCTGACCCAGATAGACTGCAGGTCATAACTTCTTACCTGAAGTTCAGTTCACCTGACACTCGGACCGGCGGCCGCTGTTCCAGATTAACTGGCGCTTAGATTAACTGGATTTGGTCGAACAGATGTGTGGCACACTTGCATTTCAGGAGCTGCTACCGACAAGCCAGCAAAAAAACGCCAAGTGTGTCACCTGGGAGGTTATCTCCAACACACTTTACCAACAGTCTCGGTCGTTGTGTCCCTGGGCAAGACACTTCACCCGTCAGAGGGCCCGGTGGCGCCAGTGTCCGGCAGCCTCGCCTCTGTCAGTGCGCCCCAGGGTGGCTGTGGCTACAATGTAGCTGCCATCACCAGTGTGTGAATGACTGACTGTAAAGCGCTTTGGGGTCCACAGGGACTAAATAAAGCACTATACAAATACAGGCCATTTACCATTTACAATGAAAAACAGTTCTGTGACAAATAAATCCTACAGTCCATGCACAAAACCATCTGTGTCTGTTCTCATCAGAGTATGCACATAGACCTCTGCAACATCACAAATCAAATCTAAAGTGAGAATGTTCTTTGATTACTGTCTTTGTACTTACATCCTGACAGACTAATCATAAAAAATGTGTTAAAAATAATGAACTGATAAACTTGTAAAAATCAATATTTATGCAGAATGTATCTGATATATTCTTGGATTTTGACTGTATTATTGAGGAAATGTTAGAAAACTGTTTCAGGCGTAACAGGTGGTGTTTTATATCAAAATTCACAATAACAGAATTCAATAAAATTTTATTTATTCATAAAGCACCAAATTATAACAACAGTTGCCTCAAGGTGCTTTATATTGTAAGGTAAAGACCCTGAAATATAGTGTTCAGTACTTGCAGACCCCACTCCCAGTGGCTCTGAAGGTTCATGTTGGGTCTGTGTTTCCACAAGCCCCGCTAATTCTAGAGACTTATTCATCATGAAGAAAACAAGACAGTCGATCGATCGATTATTTGCGCAAGGGAGGCCTCGCCTGTGTCCACCACGAGAATGACCCCCAGATCGACCTCCTCCTGCTACCTTTTATTGAGAGACAGTTCACACAAAACACGTCAGAACAAAGCCACGCCCCCTTGGTTCTAAGACAAAGCATTGTATGTATATGTGTGAACTTCTGTAAGAATGTGTGTGTGTCAGACCTACTGCTGACCAAAGGGTCGTAAATGCAGGAAGCTTACATCAAAAGAAGCAGATCTTCCAGACAGGATGTATCTGCAATAAAACATTACAGCCCCCCACCAGAACCTCGAGAATCTGGGGGGAAAGACAGTGGAATTCCTTCCACAGAATGAAAACAATGTACAAATGGTAAACATAAAAATGACAAACATTTAACAATTCACTCTAACAGTTCAAATGCACTGCAACCTAAGAAAACACCAGCAAATAGACAATTGCAGCAAAAGCACACAAAACTAACGGAAATATAATTACATTAAAAATTATTTAGGCGAGACAATAACGTGAGAGAACAGCTGTGGATTGAAAGAAGTGTGTGCTCAACGCATGATTCATGCAATCCTGTAGATACATATTTGCTATCAGTCACCTTCTCAGCTGTTCCGTCACATTATTGTCTCCTTTAAATCAATATTGTTTTGTGAGGTTTTGTTTTATTCCACTGTGAACATTATTTTTGCAGTTTTCTACTTGCTGATGTTTTCTTTGGTTGCAAGGTGTTTGACTTGTCTGGACCACTGTATCAACCAGGTTGGGAAAAGATACAAGCACGCCACAGGAGACCACCTGTCCTCTGTGGTGCCCACACATGTGACGGGCCCCACCTCCTGCCCCCCAATACCTTTATTAAACAGTTAAGATAGAAGCAGAATCAGAATCATTTATTATTCACTGAGGCAAAAATCACAGCTTTTGGCAACAATTCAGATTGTAATGCAGTCATCTTATCGTTTTAGCCCGTTCTGTTATTGCCCTGACAATTCTATGTCTGATAGAAATGTTTGATATTTCTGTTTGGACCCAGAACCTCCAACGTTTGTGGTGCCACCGCAGCCAGTGGAGGCCATGCCAGGCTCTAACGTGACGTTCTCAGCCATGGTGAAAGGCAGCGCCCCTCTCAAACTCAAGTGGTTCAGAGGGACAAAAGAGATCGTAGCTGGACATGGCTACGATTTCTCCCTGGATGATAACAAAGTTCTATTAGAACTTTACAACGTGGACAAATCTCATGCTGGAGAGTACACCTGTCAGATCATTAATGACGCAGGAAAAGAAAGCTATCCAGTGAATCTCACTGTCAAAGGTTGGCCAGAAAGAACTTATTTCTTATTTCACTAAAAAATATATATTTTTAAAATGTGGTTAATCCCAGGTAAGGTTTGGGTAACTTTGTTACCTTTGTTACCTTTGGTTAATATTAAAACACGTACGTGTGACAGATATTTTAAGATCAGGAAAGGAGCAAATATCTTTTCAGTGGCACCACACACCTTTCTGTTAGCAACATTAATTAGTTAAATGTAATCGACTTTAGGTTTTTCTTGTCTATAAATTTCTTCTAACGCAATCATTTTAATAACATATTGTGTTTTTCAGAGCCAGCAACTTTCTCAAAGAAGCTGAAGGACATATCAGTTGAGAAGGGCAAACCATTAACCCTGGAGTGTACATACACGGGCACCCCCATGATCACTGTGAGCTGGTACAAAGATGGCCAGCAGATCTTTGCTTCATACAAATACAACATTACCACAACAGAAAGCTCCTGTATCTTAGAGTGTCTCAGCACTGATAACAAGGAGGCTGCAGGAAAATACTGCTGCCAAGTGTGCAACGATGCTGGGAAAGACACGTGTGAGGCAGTGGTTTCTATCCTCGGTTAGTACAAGATCACTGAACTCACTCTGTTTGGGTTCATTTGTTGATTTGTTCCTGCAAAATATTCTTGGGCAAGCGTCCGATGCATCCACCAGAGTACAAATGTGTGTGAATGTTAGATAGAAAGAGCAACACAAACTGAATAGTTAAAAGAAGGAAAAATGGCTCTTATTAGGTAACAATCGAGAGTCAAACTTTATACTCTCTTCAGAGCCGACCACCTCAACAAAACCTTTCCTTCTGATTAGGCAAATCAGGAGACTCTACTTAGAAGCAGTGTGCAGTGGTTGTAAACCTGCAGTAATAAGTAACAAACTGATATCAGCACATTGCAAAGGTATAAAAATATGGAAACCTCAAACATACAGAAGCCAGAGGTTTTGCATTATGGATGTTACAGTCGCCCACTTTTATTCAGTAAAATTGCATATAAGACTATATGATGAGGAAAAGCCTGATAGGTTAATCTATAAGCAATAATACATACAACCACACTCAAAGCAAGACTTATTATATGTGTAGCTGTCCCAAAGCCTGCACATCTGATTTAATTTACAGTGTGTCCCTATGTTTTCTGGCGTTTGCACACACAGAGCCACCATATTTTACTGAGTCACTGGAGCCCATGGAGGTGACAGCTGGAGATGCTGTCTGTCTGAAATGTCAGGTTGCAGGCACACCTGAGATCAAGGTGTCCTGGTTCAAGGCTGATGGCAAAGTCAGGTCTAGCCCCACCTGCAAGCTGGAGTACACAAAGGGTGTTGCCTGTTTGAAGCTAAGTAAAGCCACCAAGTCCGATATCGGAGAGTACACCTGCAAGGCAGAGAACAGGATTGGCTCTGCTTCCTCCAGCTGCAGACTCAATGTGCAAGGTAAAACCTAGTTTTCCAGAGTACTGAATTTACACCTTTGTAAAAATCACTGGCTTTTCAGACTAATGTCTGCCATGTGTTTATCTTTTCCAGAAGCTAAAACGCCACCATCATTCCCAAAGAAGATCACCAGCCTGCAGCAAACTGAGGGCCAGCCAGTGCGCTTTGAGTGCCGCGTGGCTGGCTCATTGCCCATCGAGGTGTCCTGGCTGAAAGACGGCAAACCTCTGAGTCAGGGGGAGGAGTTCTCCATGCTGTACGATGATAACACAGCTGTTCTGCAGATCAACAACAGTGAGATGAGGCACTCTGGGGAGTACACTTGCGTGGCCACCAACAGTGTGGGCTCAGCTTCATGCAGAGCCAAGCTCACTCTGCAAGGTGTGTGACGCATGATTGGATGGTTGATTCATTAATACTGGATGCTTATGAAGCAAACAGCGTAATGTTTAGATATCTCACCATCACCTACTGATTCTGACTAGACAAAAACGAGTCTTCTATTTATTGTGAAACTGTGTTAGGAGACCTCATGACTTCTGGTCACTGCTCCTCACGTTTCTGAAAATGCCCCACTCTGTTGTACTTAACCACCTTTCTCTTTCACGTTCTAGACGTTCTAAATGTCTTTTGTTTATTATTTTTGACAGCACTTTGGTCAGATGGTGCTGGGCTGTTTAAGGCCCCAAACTGTTTAATCGTGTCCATCTAAAGATTTGTTTTTTTATCTTCCTTTCATTCATTCGCCACTCTGCAGAACCCAGATACCCTCCGGTATTTGACAGGAAATTGTCACTACAGGAGGTGACAGTGGGTGACAGCATTGAGCTGGAATGTCACATGACTGGTTCTACCCCCATTAAAGTCACTTGGTCTAAAGACCACAAAGATATTCGCTCTGGGGGGAATTATAAGATTAGCTGTGTGGATAATACACCTCACCTGACCATTCTGAAGGCAGATAAATCAGATACAGGGAGATACTTCTGCCACGCCTCTAATGACATGGGGAAGGACTCTTGTTCCTCTGATATCACTGTCAAAGGTATTTGAACCTGGGGCACACTCATGCCATCTCGGCTCTCTCTTCTAAAGCATTCACGTCTCTCGAAGGACATTGTTTTGTCTTTGAAAGCTGCTCCCCTTCTCATCATTCTTACTTTCTTGTCTTGATTTCAGAGCGCAAAAATCCTCCAGTGTTCACCAAAAAGCCCTCAGAGCACATCGAGGACATGGAGGGCAAACTGGTGAAGATTGAGGGCCGAGTCTCCGGGTCGCAGCCCATTTCAGTCAGCTGGTTCAAAGATGATATGGAGATACAGAGTTCTGACAAGTATGACATCAGCTTTAAGAGTAATGTGGCAGTGCTGTGCATTAAAAACAGCCAAGTGATTGACAGCGGAAGGTACTCGTGCCAGGCCTCTAATGAAGCTGGGAAAGCCTCCTGTGATGTCACTGTTGGCATCTCAGGTATGTTTGATTTAAAGTCGAAGCGTAATTGATGCTCACAGAATGACAGCTAGCAGGAATGATTAAAAAATGACTTATTTAGTGGTTTGGTATGTTTATCGAAGTCTCTGGTTTTCTTTATTCCATTGTTATAATCTTTGATGATTTGGACTGTTGGTTAAACATCTTGCTTAAATTGTTAACTAATGAAGGCTTCAAGTCAGACTTTTTCTCCTCATGTATATTTGCTTTTTAACCCTGTTATTCGAATTTACTTTGAAGTCTTTGTTTAAAGGTCTTCAGATGTGCTTACATAGTTCATGAATCTGAGCACTGACAGCAGTACAGTCAGCTAAATCAGACTGGCTTATCTCTCTTTCAGAGGCCAAGAAGCCCCCAGTGTTTGACGTACCTCTCAAACCAGCAACTGTGGATGACGGCGAAAAGCTAATTCTCAGGTGCCATGTCTGTGGATCTTCCCCTCTGAAGATCCAGTGGATGAAGGACAGGAAGGAGTTGACACCATCCAGCAGCACTAGAATCAGCTTTTCTGATGGCACAGCATGTCTGGAGATCAGCACAGTCTCTAAACTCAATGCTGGTGACTACCTCTGCAAGGCTACCAATGAGGCTGGCAGCGAATTCTGCAAAGCCAAAGTCACTGTCAAAGGTAAAAAAAAAAAAAAAAAGGTTAAATCCCCTCAGATCTGTACTCTAAGATTTTATTTATTTGTAATTGTTTTTATTTCTCAAAAGTTGAAAAATTCAGATTTTTGTTGCTTTTGAGAATCTTTCATTTGTAGTTTGTCATCTTGCAGAGAAACCTGGAGCAGCTCTGTCTCCTGCTGAAGCTCCAGCAGCTTCTCCATCCAAAAAAATGGACAATCTGTTCTTCATTGAAGAGCCTAAAACTGCACACGTTACCGAGAGTGAGGGTCTCAACATTTGCACAATGCACAATCCAAATATGTAAAAACGTAGGCATTTCTGATCTAACTCCTCTACCTGTTGCTCACAGAGGGAACCGCCACCTTCATCGCAAAGGTGGGTGGTGACCCCATTCCCAGTGTGAAGTGGATGAAAGGGAAGTGGAGGCAAGTGACCCACGGTGGCCGGATCTCCATTGAACAGAAGGGCCAAGAGGCCAAACTGGAGATCAAAGAAGTGACAAAATCGGACTCTGGTCAGTACAGGTGTGTCGCCTCCAACAAACATGGCGAGATCGAGTGCAGCACTGACATGCACGTAGAGGAAAAGAAGGACGTAGTGATGCTTGAGGGAGACCTCCGCGCTAAACTGAAGAAGTGAGTTTAGAATCTGACAACACAGAATCGTTCAGACTGAAATGTCGTTTAAATGTCGTTTAATTTTTCATTGTCATTTTGTTTATCTTTAAAAATGTATGACATCTCCTTGTTCTCAGAACTCCATCAAAGCAAAAGAGCCCACAGGAGGAAAAAGACATTGACATAGTTGAGCTGTTGAGAAACGTGGACCCGAAAGAGTATGAGAAATACGCCCGGATGTACGGTATCACTGACTACCGAGGCCTACTGCATGCAATTGAGCAGCTCAAAAAAGAGAGAGCTGAAGAAAGTGGAAGACAAGTAAGGGTCTCCACAATCACTTGGTCCGATGATTTTGAATCTGTGGATGTCTAATGCACTTGTTTGTGTTGCTGACAGGAGGTAGACCGTGGAGACAGAGAGTCTGATGAGGACATGGCCAGGCTGGTGGCTGACCTGCAGAAGAGGATGGAACGGACTGAGGTCAGGACATGTGCAAAGTCTGTTTTGAAAACCAAAGCTTTACTGTTAATGCAACTTGAAATTCATCGTTTCATAATGTTTGTAAAGAATTTAGAAATGGATTTCAGAGAGGAAGATGCAGTAAGGTAAATATAACTTTTGTTTGTGCAGGTCATCAGTATAAAAATAAAAATAAAGGAGATTTATTAGCTTAAAGGTAAAAATTCACCAATAACATCAATTTACAAAATCTTTCTGAAGCTGAATCTTACGGTGGCCCTGAGAGGCCAAATGGACTGAAAGCATCTGCAAAAGCACACACAAAACACAACGGAAACAGACAAAAAGATAATAAAGAAAATACAGAAAACAATCAGAAAGAAAACGGAAATGTTTCCGTCAAGTTATCGTGTCCCCTGAAACACTTCTGTTTTCCTTTCTGATTTTTTTTGTAGTTTTTCTCATGTGTTTTTCATCCCCGTTGTCTTTTTTCTGTTTCCATTGTGTATTGTGTGCTTTTGCAGCGTTTTCCTATTTGCTGGTGTTTTCTTAAATCCGTTTGCCCTCCTAGGGCCACCGTAATACTCTTATGCCCACAGTAGAATCCAAAGTTTTACATTTTGTTTTAGTTGAATCACAGTACAATTAATATTTAACTTTATTGAGTAAAGCTTTTACTTGCAACTGTCGGAAAGAGTTGCTTATTTAATTGTGAACTGGGTGTCTACAACTCTCTAAAGTGTTTTCCAGCAGCAATTAGAAATCTCTCACTGATTTTTTGTTAGTCAGCTAACTTCTTTTTACTCCCCTGAGCCTTTTAGTAGATACACCTATGGTATCGATTTCAAAATCCTACGTTGCCTTGTTCTCAAATGATCACATGTACAAGATTTTCAGAAAACTTGACTTCTGACCTTTGACCTTGAGGTCAAGGTCACTGAGATTTGAACTCATCTGAGATTTTTAGCATATTCACCTTTGTATCAATTTCAAAATCCTAGGTGACTTCCATCTCAAGTTATTACAGCCACACAATTTTCAGAAAACCTGACCTCAGACCTTCAGGTCAACCAAGACAGCCCTACAACTTCCAGAGCCTTCAAGAACTCATGGTGAACCTCACACACCCTAGAGGACCTGCCACCAAGGATTTCTAGGAGTAACCAAGTGGTGGAAGGTTTCCACTTTGATGGTCTCAGAATCTCGTCTCCGCTTTTCGCACATAAGCTGCTCCAGCTCACATTGCAGCAGTTCACAGCTGAGTGTGAAACGGTGGGAATAAGAATCAGTGCTTCAAAGTCTGAGGCTGGAAAAGGGCGGAGTGCCCACTCCGGGTCAGGGGCGAGTAGGAGATCGACAGATTAGTGCTACGGCTGCAGTGATGTGGACGCTGTACCAGTCCGTTGTGGTAAAGAGAGAGCTAAGTGTAAAAGCAAAACTCTTAATTTACCGGCCAATGTACATCCTTACCCGTACCAACGGTCATGAGCTCTGGGTAGTGGCTGAAATCATGGATACAAGCGACGGAAGGAGTTCAGCCATCCGGGTGAAGTGTTCTAGACAAGTCCCACCAGGAAGAAGCCCTGGGACAGACCCAGGACAAACTTTATTCTGAAATGGTTGCAATGGTCTTTTTTGCTGAATTAACAAAACTAATGTTGGTACAGGGTCAACATTGCAAGTGATCAGTTACGTTGTAGCCATAGACCCGGTTTATTTTCTTTGGTCCTTAACATATGTTGTGCACATAAACATTATTAGAAAAAGCTGTTGAGCCATCAGAGAATCTTTCCTTTACTGCAGTGTACAGTTAATAGAAATAATCACAAGGATGAAAAACTGTTTGTCTGGCATGTACTTCATAAAGCTCTTTGTCATTATTGCAGCCTGTCACTGTGGTGAAGGACATTTCCAATCAATCTGTCTTCATTAATGAAGAAGCAGTGTTCGAGTGTGAGATCAAGATCAACTACCTAGAAATCACGCTGTCCTGGTACAAAGGCACACAGAAACTTGATACTAGCGACAAGTACAATATCACCATCAGCGGCGACCGCCATCTGCTCAGGATCAAGAACTGCCAGTCATCTGACCAGGGCAACTACAGGGTGGTGTGCGGGCCCCACATATCCAGTGCCAAGCTCAGTGTCATGGGTCAGTACTCACAGCTTTACTGCATCTGTTAAAAAGTATCTGTTGTTTGATAAAGGGTAATTAGCATTTCACCTCGGTAGTTGTCTAGTTTAGCTTAGAGGCTTTAGCTTTTAAGTGGTTGTAAATGTTCTGTCTTCTTGGCTGATTGAGAACAAAGCCTCCTTACAGTAAAAACTCGATTATCTTAAATAAACTATTTTGTTTTGACTTCATTTTTGTTTTTATGTGTTTTGTCTTTTAGAGGTGGAGGTTGAGAAACATCTACAGGACACAATGGGTAAGGAAGGCCAGTCATGTACTATGTCTTGTCAGATGTCCATCCCTTATGTAGAGGCTCAGTGGTTCAAAAATGGAAAGCAGTTAGAAATGAAGGACAGGTACACATCTGAGGTGAAACACAAGGTTCAGAAGCTACTGATCAGAGACCTGAAGCCTGAAGACCAAGGAAGATACACCTGCAAGTACCAACAGCTGGAGTCTTCAGCAGACCTCTGGGTGGAAGGTTTGTACCTGGAATCCATCCTGCAAACTTATAGACATGTTTTACGTAGTTCCCAGTTACTAACCTCTTTTGACTTCCATTATCAAACTCTTAAAATAATGTAGGCAATTTGAAGATTGCCCTCTTTTTTCCTCTTTGATTTTGTCCTTCTCTTTCATAACTTTCTTCATGATCGTGTTCCAAAAACATGCCCCATTGTCCCATTTGTTGTATTTTTACTTGCATTTTGACAACTGTCCCATAAATGATGATCATCATTTTTAACCATCTAGATGATATTTTGATGAAAAATGACCATTTAGCTATTGTCATACACTCCCAATTGTGATGCCATTTACCCATTCCCGTCTTTATCTTTTTTTTAGCTGAACAAATTCATTTCACCAAACGCATCCACAACATCGAAGTCAATGAGCGACAGTCAGCCACCTTTGAGTGTGAAGTGTCCTTTGACAATGCCATTGTTTCATGGTACAAAGACACCTGGGAACTGAAAGAGAGCCCTAAGTACAACTTCAGAAGCGAGGGCCGAAGACATTTCATGGTCATTCAAAACGTGACTGTTCAAGACGAAGGTGTGTAGTGTGCCATCAAGCTACAAAGGCTCGTCACAAAGTCCTGTAGATTTTTTTCCTCGTTGTTTGTTGAGACCTGAGTGTAAAAGATCTTCATTACTAATTCCTTATAGGCGTGTACTCAGTAATTGTGAGGTTGGAACCCAGGGGAGAAGCTAAGAGCACAGCTGAGCTTTATTTGTCTGGCAAAGGTACAGTTCAGAGTCAGGCAACACTTTTTATGCTTCTGCTCACCTTTTATCGAAGTGTTTAACACTCTGTTTATTCTATATTTTCTTTTTCTTTTTTTTACAGAAATTGAATTAGCAATGGTCCCCATTGGTAGGTATTTTATTTTCAAGACCCTCGATGACTTTAATCATTCAGGAACATCTTTGGAAAACCTCTTTCTGCCCTCTTTATCACAGTCAGATATGGACACAGTCCACCACTCTAGTTCACCACTGCAGGTTTTTACGAATTCAGACACAATCAAAAATGATCTGACTCTTACCAGGTTCTAAAACTAGGCAAATGCAACCTCAGAGGAATAGCATCACATGACATATTACATCATGTCATAATGTATTTAAAAGATTTAAGGCAAAATTTAGGACCAATGTGTGAAAAATAAGCCCACACTGTGATTCACTAGCTTGTAGAACCACTTTTTTGAACTATTTTCTCACATTGTTCTGGGTGAATCTCCTGTTGCATGACCCAATTTTAGCCAAATGGCTTTACATTTGACAATATCTGTGTGCAATGCCTGTGTTCATTTGAGCCACCATTAATCATGGAGTCTATGTTAAACTCACATGGCTGCCAGGTGCCCAAGTCCTGTTAGCGCCAAACAATGATCACGGCTTCTGATATGATGTGTTTGGCTTTGGTTTGGTAGACCGGGTGTGGTTTGACTAGGAGGAAAAGGCTGCCCAATCTAAAGTGGTGTTCTGTTATTGGACTTCTATGATAATCACAGTGTGTCCATAACGAACACATGTTCAAGTATAAGGGTGTTCCTAGGTGGAGGTCACACCAGGACACGCTAGGTTGCAGGTTGGTAATTAATTTCATATCTGTGTCATGAGTTTAGCTGTCAACTGATCACCACCTGGTAGTGAGTTGGATGAGGTGAGAGCAAAGGATGCTGGCCATGCACGCCCAGATATATGGGGAAGGTGCATTGGGAGCATCTAGCCGAAGCCCTGGTCAATTTCCACTTCTGGCATAACTTTGAATACATTCCGAGAGAGACTGAGGGCATTGAGCCATTGGGGCAAGCATAGCAGATGGTGGACACTGGAGCTAAAGAGAGCTGTTAGAGGGACTCCTAGTGGACTTGGTTAGCCTGTGGCATCACAAATACTCCTCATAGAGGAAGCAGAGTCTGGGGATGAGGTGGATGATTTGCAATCACTAGAGGTGAGTTTACTGGGATAAGACAGCTTCTTGTAAGTGGTAAGACCCCCAGGGTGGAGATTTGCCTTGTTCCTTAAGGCTTTGGATGTTGTGGGACTACACTGATTGACACGCTTCTGCAACTTTGCATGGCACTGTGGGGTGATGCCTCTAGATTAGAAGACTAGAGCGATGGTTCCCTGAGCAAGGTTCCTTAAACGGACTCAGGCGCAGACCAGGGATTTCTTTGGCAAGAAAACAGTGCGTTTATTTACAGTGAAGGAAACACCAGGTGAATATATATACAGAGTGCCAGGGGAAAAGGGGTCCGGGGCTCCAGGGTCCACAGGGACACAGAGGATGAGTCAAAAACGCTCCTCTCTCTCTCCAGAAAGTCCAACACCTCTCTTTCGCCGCTCCTCTAGCTCACTCGTCCAAACACAGTCACAAACGGGTTCAGGGATGATGCCGATAGCCCAACGAACCAAGAATAGCAAAGGTCCGCCATCTTATCTTGGGGCGATCGTGGCTCAAGAGTTGGGAGTTCGCCTTGTAATCGGAAGGTTGCCGGTTCGAGCCCTGGCTTGGACAGTCTCGGTCATTGTGTCCTTGGGCAAGACACTTCACCCGTTGCCTACTGGTGGTGGTCAGAGGGCCCGGTGGCGCCAGTGTCCGGCAGCCTCGCCTCTGTCAGTGCGCCCCAGGGTGGCTGTGGCTACATTGTAGCTTGCCATCACCAGTGTGTGAATGTGTGTGTGAATGGGTGGGGTCCTTAGGGACTAGAAAAGCGCTATACAAATACAGGCCATTTACCATTTACCATTTAAGTACTGCTTTAATCCACTGGAATCGGCAGCAGGTGTGATGACAAGTGCAGGTGCGTGGGCCCAGGGCGGGAGCCTGCAGTGAGCACCACCCCGGCGGAGGGAAGAGGGAGAGAGAGCAAAACAAAAACAAACATGTCCCCTGACACGGAGTCAGCTGGCGAGACACGGGGACCATGACATAAGGTCTGTATTGTCAGTAATGAGTCAGACCTGTCCCCACTGGCTGTTGGACTCTGTTAGTGGTTTTTCACTGATTTTGTACATAATGTTTGTGGACAAAATTTGTAGACATAGCTAAGAGGCAAATTTTGACTTCAGTGGCCTCAGGGACTCATCTATGTTTCTCTGCATGATGAGATTCTCTTGGCTTCATCACATGGTCGTTTCCAGCCTGCACTGAGCTGTTTTACAGGAGGGTCTGAAGATGTGGGAATGAGAATTACAACCTACAGGTTTTTCCTATCTGGAAAACTGTGAGTTCCTGTCCCAAGTAGAAAGGGTCTGTCTCAGGGTCGTGTTCCTACAGTAACCGAGAGACGAGTGGCGTGGCAGCAGTTATTAGGAGTCATTACCAATTTGTTGTGGTCAACTGAGAGCTGAAGGTGTTGACTAGTAATTTACGTTACTGCCCGCACCTATTGCAGTTCTGAGTAGTGACTTAAATAACGAATGATGGTAATGAGCTTTCTTCAAAGGGTAGCTCGGCCCTTCTTTAGAGACAGGGTGAGGGACTCAAAAGAGCAGCTCTGCTCAGAGAAGCTGTGGCAACTTCTGCACACAGGAACCAGGCGAGGTGGCTCAGGCATGTGAGTAGGATACCTCCTGGTTGCTATATTAGGTCTTCTGGGCATTTACCACAGGAAGGAGACCTTGGGGAAGACCAAGGACAAATTGCCTGTCTTTAAGACGCCTCAGTCACCCACCTGAAGAGCTGGAGGTGGTGGCTAAGGAGGCTCTGGGCTTGTTTGGGCATGGATGGATCAGTGGGTGGATGTCATTGCCATTTGTCATTTGTCCTTGAGGGGAATTTGATGTCCAGTCCTGGGATTTTCCACTTGCTTTCCAATTCCACCTGAATGCATCAGATTAGCAAACTGCTAACACTTCTGCTTTTACAGTTGTAGACACACTTGTGTCGATGATCATTTAATCTATTGAATGTGAGCAGCAGCAACTTTCTGTTACTTACATGCTTTATTCCTATAAAGGAAGTAGGGGTATTTCATACTGTGTCTGCCTTTTTGCTCAGTGTTTGTTAAATATGTAATGACACAATGTATATTGTTGTTCATCTGAGGTTGTATTTGACCAAATTTAAGACCTTCTAGGACCAGATGCATTTTTCCATTACCTATAACACTATTATCTATGATTTTATAAAAGTGAAACCAATTAGCTTATTTTTGGGAAGCTGTTAAAATGTTGAACTTAAGCTCCAGGCCTAAAGGGCCGGATATGGAGTTACTAGTTTCAAGTTAGGTGGTTAGGTATGGTACCCACTAGCCTGTGTTACTACAGGACTACGCTAGCTGGTTGTACTTAATTGATGTTATGGTTGAAATGTGCCTATCTATACTTTTTATCTTGTAACTGGCAAATGCTACCAAGCAAGAGGATTTTCCAAAATGTCCTACACTTCTACTCACAGTGGTTTTTTTTTTTTCTTAATAGTTAACCAATAGTTAACCACTTAACCAAAACAGAACTTTTGGTACCATACTCTGTAGATATGCCAGATTCCTCTGTTCAGAGGCCTGAAGTGCCTACGTCAGTTGCAATTCAAGGTAAGGCATCATAAGCAGCTCACTTTGTTCCATTTATTACATCAGGGAATTTACAGAGCAGTTTCTGTTATAGAAATTTCATAGTAGTTTTGTGGCCCACATAGAATTAAGACAATGTTTACCTGAATTTAACAATGAAATGGAATAAAAATGGTTTTTGTCTTTTAAAGAATCTTATGAATTCTATCATTATGAAGAAGAGATTGAAGGTATTTACTATTTGTTTTTATGCTCCTGCGTTTTGTCTTTTTTCCTGTTAATTTGTATCTGTTATTCTTTCTTTCTTTGTGCCTAATGTTCTGAATGTGTTTTGTTGTCACTTTGTAACTTTAATCCAGTTTTCCATCTTGATGCCATACTCACTAACTTTTACTTATGTTTTGCCATTTAACATTAAAAGTGTGTGAGTCTGGTTTTAGGGATGAGATTTATTACATAAAATGCGTCGTGTTCAGTTCTGTTCCATTAGGTTTAAGCACAGTAAAACACATTTTGCACTCTTGCTTTTACAATTTTTGGATTTTGGCTAGGCTTAGTAAGAAAAGTACAATATTAGGTAAGAGTTCTATCTCCACCAGCTGAACAACAACAAGTATATATGGACCCTCTCCACACACACATTTGTATTATCTTTTTCTATGCCTGTAAATGGTGTTTGGTGTGTAATGGATCACTAAGAATAGAGCTTTTAAAAAAAGTCGTTCCAGTTTGAAGATTTTAAGAAGTTCAACTTCTGTTTTTAAATAAAATGTAGATTTTTGTCCTGCATCTCAAAGATGTGCAGCTTTATCTCTTTTTTTCTTTAACATCAGACTGTACAGGTGTTAGGGTATTGATTGGCCCGGGCTTGAGGCCTTTGACTGGCCAGCAGTTTTGTATGATGTGCTCATCATGCTCTTGTCAGCACAATGTCGAGAGCATGCACAGCAATACCTGTGTGCGTTTGAGCCACATTACTCATGTCTATCTTGACATTTGTCTTTTTTTAAAATGTATGTTTTTTCTTATCTTATATATTTGTGTTTGCATACATCTCTCTTTTTTATCCCTCATTTCACTACCAGCCTTTGTATGCTTGTTTTTTTAATAACCACTTTTGGTTCAGTAACAGCCTAATATCTGATGATCTGTTTTTGGTTACTGTCGAGCTTCTGAATCTTTTAGTTTCTTATCACAAATACATTGTTCTGCATTATCATTCTGCCTCCTATCAGAGTGCTTTGCACAGTTTAGGTTTGCACTGATCTTTTGACCTCTCTTGTCCCGTCTAAAACACACCACACACTAATGACCAAATGCTTTAGATTGTACTGACTTATGTCCAAATGCTTAAAAAGCTTATCTAGAAATTCTGAGCTTAAAAGAAAAAAAATAATTAAAAGTGTTGGATTCCATGTTTGACTTATGAAGACTTAAGAATGTTTATGTTTTATGACACTTACCTTCGATCTTGAATCTTTGTGCATGTGTTTTTCCAGCAGTTGTAAGAGTTGCCATTGAGGAGACAATGGAGACCAAACAAGTTCAAATGAGAGAGGAAATCCCAACAAAAGGTACAGCAGAGCTGAGCATATTCTGCTTTCCCTCATCCTACAACTGTGTCTTTTTGTTCTTTTATTACATTATCTACTGTAGTGGCGTTTTCAGTTTTTAAAATGGCGCCGTGTATTCTGCTGCACTTCTCTTCTTCACCTAATTGTGTTTTTTTTTTAATTTCCCAAAGTTGAGGAAAGGCCTGAAGAGAAACCAACACCAGCATCACCACAGAGAGGTACTGACAAACTGTTGATGTTGACACGTAAATTTATTAATTACATTTATAGCTTCTTTTGTTTTTACTGTTATCTCAACTATACTTTGTGTTTGTTTGATCTTTTACTTCCTAAACCTCTCTAATGTTGCTTGACCTTCACTTAATTTAACTGCACATTTGAAGAGCCTGAAGCCAGAAAGCAAGTGGAGGAAAAGATTGCTGTGGTTTCAGTCCCAGAAAAGGATGTTCCTGTTCCCAGAGGTAGGGATTCCTACAAATGTCTTTAGAACACCTTTGCTAAGGACAATCTGTTGTCTCATTTGATTATTATATGTTTGAATATTTCCTTAAAAGAAACAGAGGAAGTTAAAAGGCCGACTGCTTCCCCACCTCCACCTACTGAGAAGCCTGGAGTGCCAAAGAAAGGTACTTCATGTTGCTTAATGTTTCTTTGATGTCTTATCAACTGTGTGCCACACTATACAGTTTCCCACCATGCTGAGTCAGTCTGGCTTCATTGAAACCTTTATCTGTTTTATATGTCATGCTGTTTCTATACACGATTCTGGTGATTTTCTCATTCTCTGAAGCACTTCTTGCAAAATTATAGATTCTCCTGCTGCTTAATCCTAACAAAGAATGTTTTTACCCATTTAAAGATGAACCCAAGCCTCAGGTGTCAGCAGACTCCAAAGTAGTGCCCCCTAAAGCTAAGCCTGAAGCTGAGCCCAAGCCCAAACCCAAAGTAGAACCAGAAGCAAAGCCAGTGCCTACACCCAAAGCGGAACCAGAAGCAAAGCCAGTGCCTACACCCAAAGCAGAACCCAAGGTTAAACCTGAACAAATCCCCAAGCAGGAGCCTGAAGCTAAACCAGTACCAGTAAAGAAAATGGTGACGCCACCATCCAAAGGTATTTCCTGTTTTGTTTGGATGTTTGTGTTGAGTTTGTAGTCTACTGTGTATGCTTCTGTCTTTAGTATTAAGATCTTCAAACTGTTCATTTAGCTTCAAGAGTGGAAGCGAAGTCTTTGTCTTTGTTTATCTAAACAAATCTAAATGTTGCTAGTCCCTGAAGAAGCTGCAAAACCAGATCCATCAAAGACCAGGCGCAAGCCAGCTGAAACCAGGCTAGAACCAGACAAACCTAAACCAGAAGCTCATAAACCCGAGCCTTCTCTAACAAAACCAGAACCAAAAGAACCTGCAGTGGTTCCCAAGCCTGAACCTGTGGTGAAAAAATCAGCAGAAATAACAGCACCAAAGCCTGTGGTGCCAAAACCGGAACCCCCAGTGACCAAACCAGAACCAACTCCTGCACCAAAGGAACCTGCAAAAAAAGGTAAATGGCTGTGGAGTTTTTCTTAATGTGGTGTTTTTTCTTTAATCTTCTTAACTCCACTGTCCAACCTTAACTCATCTGAGGTGTCTTCACATTAGTGTTTTTGATGGTAGTGCGAACAAATCTCGTATTAACCTTTGAGTACCACAGATTCTTTTCAGGGATTTATCTGTGAGTACATTTTGATGTTGATATCTGCCGACTGCATATTTACCTAACTATAATAATAATTATTAATATTATAATAATAATGATAGTAAACGGAATTTTATTTTGAAGCATCAGAAGAACCAGCAAAGAAGGAGGTTTCAGCTCCAATCCAACCACCCCAACCTTCACTTGCACAACCAGAAAAGTTTGAGACAGAGGAACAAGCGCCACAGAAGAAACCTGTGGCAGTTAAAGGTACCTGAAGCTAATTCAGTCATCCGGAAACTTCTAACTAAAACCAAAACTCTCATACTAACCCTAAACTCTTCAGGTTCTGTGGCATATTATTTTATAATGGCTAACCTCTCTCATTTTGTTGCTGCATGTTGTGATCGTTCTTGTCTTGCACTCGATAGAGTGTTTCATTGTTCTCTAATGAAACTCTTCAACTTGAATTTGCTAAAAGACTTTTAATATATGCCAATAATACTCTTTAAAGTTCCTGTGGAGGAAAAAATAACTGAGCTTCCGAAAGCAGCCAAGAAAGCAGAGCCTGCTGTCGTTCCACCAAAGGAAGAACCAACAAGGAAAGAGAAAGGTACATTTCTATTTCACATATGAAGTTTCTTTAATACAGGGGCAGACTTCATTCACTGTCTTTTGAGTCTCTTTAAGTAAAGAAATGCTATGATGATATATACTCATACCCAGCTCAAATTATTCATTTTATATCCAAAATGTACATTTAGAGGTGCCTTTCAATGTCTTTACTCTATGAGATTTCCTTTTTAACACATAGTCATATATTATTCTCCACAGGGTGACCCTTTTGTGTCTAAATGACTTCATGAACTTATAAAGGATTTGTTTCTTGTGTGAAAGCACATTTGTGTTCTTTATTGTCATGTCTTTTGCATGTTCTTGTGTCACACCCTCTTAAAGCTTTGAAGCTCGAACCTAAACCTGTACCTGAAAAAAGCTATCAGAAGGTGTTTGATGAGGTTGCTGTGTTGGAGCCTGAACCTGTGAAGCTTCCTGAGAAAATATCTGAATCAGTACCCGAGAGACGCTTGGAGAAAGTGCTGAAACCCGAGAAAGCCATGAAGGAAATTCCAAAGCTGGAGCCAGAAAAATTACCTGAGAAAGTACCAGAAAAACCACGTGAGGAAAAAGTCCCAGAGGAGGCTCTTCCTAAGAGGAAGCCTGTAAAGGTTCCTCAGAAGGTGGTTGAGGAAGCTTTGATTACTGAGAAGCAGACATCTGTAAGCACTGAGGAAATCAAAGTTGAGCTCATTTCAAAGAAGCAAACAGAGAAGATCTCTGTAGAGAAAACAGTTCACGTAAAGGCCCCTGATGCAATACCTGATATCGTATCTAAGGCCAAGCCTAAACAAGAGGTAGAAGAAATGCTTCCTAAAGGTACAGCAGACTTCAGCTGTTTTTGTCTTTCTTTGTATCTTCATCATGCATGTTTGAGCATGAGGACTGCCAAGATTTGAACTGAAGCCAGAATCTCAACAATCACTTAAATGTTATCAAATGATGCTCTTTTATTTGAGTGTTTAATATTGAAAAACTTTTGATCACGTAAAAAGAAATCTCTTTATTGTTCTTAATTCTCACTTAAAGTTTTCAGTGAAAAGAAATGATTTTTTCTTTGTTACATTTCCGTCTTTAATGCAACAAGATAACAAAATGCTATCAGAGCTGAATTCATTTGGCCTCAGTGGTGAGGAGAATCAGTAAATGTGACATCTATCAATGTGTCATCAAATATTGGTGGTAAGAAATTCCAGCTGACTAAATGTGTGCATTGAGTTCAGACTGAACTGCTGCCACAAGGTTTTGTCAACATCTTCCATCTCTTGGCTTGTTTGTGTTATTTGACATGTGTTTGTTGACTGTCTACATTTTTCTCTTTCCAAATTGTTTTCTTCACCACACACCATCTTGGAATCAATTTTGATTCATTGCTTAAAAGAAACCGAAGCTAAGAAGATTGAGAGGATTCTGCACACAGAGATTGAACAGGATATAAAAATGTATGCTACTAAAAAAGGTACTACATGGATCTTAAACACATCTTATTCTTTAATGCTTGAAACAAGTGGATTGTCACCTAAAGCATGTGGTTCTTCATTTCTGTGTTGTCTCCTAACACTGATGATTGTCTTTGTGTTTTGTTGTCAAATCTTGGCGCCGCCACATGACGCCTCTTCTTCTACACTTCTTAAATCATCTCACAGCTGCAAGTTTTGAGAAGACTGAAGAAGAACAATGGGAAAGCAAAGGAGCTCAGGAGATACAGGAAATGTATTATGTGACAGAACAAGTACCTTTTACAGAAGCTGTCTGGGAGCGTGAACAAGTAGTAGAAGAACATGCTGAAGTCTGGTATGAAGATGTGGCTCCACTGGACAGGGCAGTGGTGGTATTGGTAGAAACAGATGTCTTAAGTACAACAGAAACACAGAGCCAACAAGATAACAGGTCTGAAGTGAGAGGTGAGCTATCTGCTACTGATACTTCAAAGAGGAAGGAAAGCAGCGTGGCTAAACAAAGAATCAGCCCGAAAAAACCCGAGGCTGTAGTTTTAGCCCAGGACTCTGAATCGAAGCTCACAATACTACAAGATAAACCTTCAAAAGAAAAAACAGAGTATTTTGTCAAGGCAGTTGAGTCACCAAGCAAAGAAATTACAGATGAAAGGAAAGACAGTGCATCAGTTAGCCACCAACAAGACAAAAAAGCTATACACGAAGCCAGCTTTGAACCTAAAAAGAGAGCGAAGAGCACTGAAACAGAAAGCAAAGAGAGACGCGCGAAAGAAAAATCCGAGGAGCCTACTTCATTCAAAGAGAAGGAAACACTGAAAGATGTCACGGTGGCGACAAAGGCAGATGAAACCAAACCTTCCTCGGTTGTGATCACCACAGAAGCAAGAAAACTGACTGAAAACCTGGAAGCTGAAACAAAGGCTTTAGCTGAAGTCACCTTTAAGGAAGCAGTCGATCGTGACGTATCAGTGACTCCACATGAAAAACACAGCAATGAAGTTTCAGAGATGACAAGAGCACTGAGGGAAGACACAGTTAAAGGTAAAGAAGCAACAATCGTTCACACTGCAGTGAAAATGGAAGAAAAGAGAAAAGAGGAAGCACTCGTCACCCCTGAACGTGAGCAAAGTGCACACAAAGTATTTGAAAAGAAAACGGAGAATAAGGTGAAATCTGAGGAAATGTTTTATGCAGAAACAGAGATTGTTGCTGTAAAACCCTCAGTAACAGATACTGACGTGACAAAAATGATCAAACAGGGGTTGGAATTTGAATCTGTTTCTGCAAAAACTGAACTCAAATACAAGATGACAAAGGAAACAAAAGAATCTTTATCCGAGGATCCTCTTCAGACAGTTCCTTCAGTGCCATTAAAGCCAGACGAGAAAAGGATTCCTTCAAAAAAGTCTTCCAGAGGTACCAAACGTACCGTTCTTATTGCATTGTTAATCTGTACCTGTGTCATTCGACTCCATGTTTGCAGTCTTTGTTCTGGTGTGTGTTCAGACTGAGTCCATCATCAACCTCAGTTTGTAAACCTCTCTTCATGTCACATGTTCATAGTTGGTCTTTTTCATTCCTCTTAAAATCTTTTTTCCTGCCCTCTGTTATTCTACTAAAATCTACTCGTACCTTCCTTTGAATAAGAACTGATTCTTTTTTAAAGAAACAGAAGACACGATTCTCACTGCTGCTCCTGATGCTTTGTCGCCTGAAACACAAGTTGCAGCTAAAACAGAAAGACTAGAGAGAGGTAAAGTCGCAGCACATTTCACATCTTTTTTCAGCTCCTGATATTCCTTTTTTTACAGCGTCTGTATTTTTTACTGTGATCTCTTTGCACCACTACACTTCACGCCATTTAAATTTCTCAATGTCAATGCGAGAAAACATCTTCTACAGAGAAGAGAAGAGGAAGCAACATCGAATAAACCACAAAGATAATGACGACACTGTAGGCAAAGATATTGTTTCTGTACGGCAAGAGGAGATTTTAAGAACTATACAAGAACCCAACAAAGTGTCAGGGTAATAAAATAAAAGTCATGGTAACATTTCTGTTACTAATGGTTTCAAGACCCAGGTCCTTAAAATTAAGTTATTCTTAAAACTAAGGAAAAGGTGAAAAATACAAGAAAATTGTCAGTTAATAAAAAGTCCATCTCCAGAAAAGATCATATGACCAAAATGTTACAGGCTGGAATTAGTGAAACATCTGCAAAATCTCAATAAACTGAAAGAACAGAAGATATTTTTTCTATGTTTTCAATGAAAAACAGAACAGAATTAGAGGAATTAAACTTGAAGAAGACCAGTTCAACAAAGAAACACACTGAGAGAAACCTCATGTTTAGGCCTTTAATGGAACACGAAGTCTAAGAATGAAGTTCAATACATCTTCAAAGAAACCAGATTCTTTGAAAGACCGAGGACAGCAAAGACATCCAGTCTAAACTGAATGTGAAAAGACAATTTTATCACCATTAATACAAAGCAGCAACAAACGGAAAGAAAGGGTTCAATGATCCCTGCAATGGATCTGCAAAACAATTAACTGCAGAGGAGCACGAGTTTTTATTAGAGCCTCTACTAAAATATATTTTCCCAGATGATACTGTAAAAGTGAGTTTTATATGAAAGGCAAATCTACAGAAGATGAACAGCAGAAATCTGGTGAAAATGATAAAGCAAAGGTAATAATAGGAGAAATTCAGTCAAAGTGAAGAAGACACTGAAAGCAAAGCAAAAGTTACGCCGGTGTTGTCTTAGCAATCACATGTAGCAGATGACAGGCCTGAAAAATATGTGAAAATGGAATCACTCAAAGAAAGAGTCATTGCAAACAAGTATGTCAGCTAAAAAAGACGTGAAGAAGATAAAAGAGCCCTGAACGAAGATCAAAATGCTAATGAAGCTAACAGAAAGAAGCGTACACATCACAGGAGATGTGACGTATAGTTGTGAGCCTTCAGTGACAGATAACACCAAGCTAACTGGTGACGCTACAGTTTATGGAAGCAGGAAGTCCCGCACGCTAGACGCATGTCTCCTCATGAACTTCAAGCCAGAAAGAAGGGAGAAGCTCGAATGATTCACTCCATTACAGACAAATGGATTTGACACTGGAAATAGAAGAGAGAAAAGAAACTCTTCCTTCAGGAAATTTCCAGAGGTATCGAGAAAAAAAGAAACACTCTTGATATGAGAGCCAGTCATTGTTTTGATTCTTAAAAGACTTTGAACTCATAACTCCTCGTCTTCATCATATTAGCCATTTCATCTGGGCACAAACTGCTCGTCATGCTGTTTGCTTTCTTATCACTACAGTTAAATCACAAAAGGTTTCTACTGAATGCTGTTTCAGTTACTTCTAGTTCTGTATTTGAAGTGAATATTTCTTTATCAATAGTTTTGGACGGTGAGGTCAAATGTCCAGCTGTCATATGGAGTTGAAACTCAGTCATCCAGCTTTCTATGCAGTGTCACGTGGTTTTAGTCTTTAAATGGTCTCATGCTTCCCACATCGGTCTTTGTGAGGCGCTAATTGTCTTGTGATTTCATTTTCAAGTTCTTGTAAAGGAGAAGGAGTTGGTGCCAGAAATCAAAGAATCACTGGTAAAGCCAGCTGCTCCACAAAAAGGTACCCAGCCACTTCTTTAAAGCTCTTTCTGTGTTTCTGTGGAGGGTTTATTAAGGCATTCAGAAAAGAATGCCACTCTTATGCAGATATAAATCTTTGACTGTGTCTTGAAACAAAATAGACAAAAACAAGGTGTTTAGAGAAAGAATGCAACGTGAACTTCTGGTTCTTTTTGTGTAGGATGATGTAGATTAGATAGAGCACTGTTGCTGAAATTCCTGTATACTTTTTACTTTAAGAGAGCAAACCACAAGCTGCTGTTAAAGATCAAGAAACTGCCAAAAAGCCTGAAGTCACTGATAATGCCAAGTTGAAAAAGACAATTACTCCACCAGAAGAAAAGCCAGGTATTCAGACAGTGATTCCAGCTTTGAGAAATATTACGTGCTTTGGTGATTATACATCAATTCTTTCTTTTTTATACTTAAAGTGGTCGCGACAAAGCCCGTTATGGCGGCTGAAGAACCAACTAAGATGATTGCAGAGGAGGAAAAACCACTAACAAAAAAGATATCACCTGGAACAGGTAGAAGACTGAGATGGAAATGTTCTCTTTGTTTAAGGTCTTTAGTCTGTTCCAGTTTCTTTTTTTAAACTTCTTGTTTGATAACAGCAATTTTATTTATACTCCACTGTGTATGTGTACTGGTGTTGCTATGAGTCTTTCTTATGTTGGAGGATAGGACCCTTAGCCAAAGTAAAGCCTCTCTGTCTGTTGTTACAGTGTTTGTGTCTGTTGGTGATTGAATTCAACATAAGCTACTGTGTCCTTGTACTCAGCCTAACTTCATTTCATTCTTTGTGTTTACTTACGGTGTTATTTCTTTTCTGTTGCTCTTCATCTAAATGATAGCACAGTGAATTCTTTGCTCTGCACGTGAGTCACATCTGTGTTTGTGTCGCCTCCACATTAAGTTACAACTTTTTGAACTATGTTTTTATATTAGATGAATCCAAGGGGCCAGTCCAAGCACCAGGAGGAGTCAAGAAAGGTAGGAGTACACTCAGTATAGAGCTACTAGCATGTATGGAGTAAATATGTCTCAAAAGGGTTACAAATGGTGTGATCCACAAGCTTACACTTAAATGTATAAATGTGTACAATTATTTGTGTGTAACAAGCATGTGCTTCAGTCCACACACGTACAAAACAATTTGAACACACATCAAAAACACAAATTCAAATACACAAGCCTGGATAAATGTAATGATCTGCATGCAGTTTATTAAGTTCAGCTTCATAAATTGGATATGTTTGTCTTTCATAAAGCTCCCACTCGTACAAAACCTTAAATAGGAGTGCACGAATCGCCTGATATGCACAGATCACACCGCATGCCTCTGTGGGCTGCCAACTTCACGTGGATCCACAAACACAAGCGCTGTCAATGTGCTGGTGTAAAACAGGGACATCCTCTATAGTCCTTTTTGTTCTTTTTTCAAATGAAGTGGTCATTGTTCTTCTAAATAAACAGAACAACTTGTCACCCCTCTGCTAGCAAACATAGATTACAGATAACACAGCGTAGCCTGTAAATATTAATAGTTTAAATAAGCTGCTGCTACATGCTGGACAATCTGCTGGGAAGACTCATTCAGTGCTCAGCTGCAGATGGGGGGACATCATGGTTGTACATCACTGTGGATCATTCTCTGGAGTGAGTATGTGCTAAATAATCTCTGTATATTTTGAATATTCATATAATCCAGGTAATGTGGAATAACACTTTCATGTTAATCCTACCATTCTCTAATAACAGTAGGTTAACATTAATGTTAGCTTAATGACTAATTCTTAACCTTTCAGGATGTAGCAGCAGCTTATTTAAGTGATATATTACCTTTTATTGTCATGATTCGGCTGTGTGGCAGGCAGGAGAGGACCCAAACGCAAACTCACAGAGACAAAAGGTAAACTCAAAAAACACAGCTTTATTGCTGGCGTGGAGTGGGACACGAAAAACAATACAAAATAAACTAAACTGGGAAAACTAAAGCACAAGGAGCCACAGGGAAAAATCACACAGCTATGATGAGCGCTTATTTAAGTGATATATTACCTTATTGTCATGATTCGGCTGTGTGGCAGGCAGGAGAGGACCCAAACGCAAACTCACAGAGACAAAAGGTAAACTCAAAAAACACAGCTTTATTGCTGGCGTGGAGTGGGACACGAAAAACAATACAAAATAAACTAAACTGGGAAAACTAAAGCACAAGGAGCCACAGGGAAAAATCACACAGCTATGATGGAGACTACGACACTGACAAAGAGAAACACAGAGCTTAAATACACAGAGGGATAACGAGGGAATGAGACACAGAAGGGGAGCACAGCTGGGAGTAATCAGGCTGGACGAGACAGAGACGCAAAACTAGAAACACTCACATGAGGCATGGACCTACAAAGTAAAACAGGAAACACACTGACTGAATTCTAAACATGCAAACTTAACAGCAACAGGGGAGACATAACATGGAACACAGGGAAGCCATATGACAAAGCCAAAGAGCAAAACCTAAGATAACCATAACTGAGATCTAGGGAAACACGAAACAGTACCACAAAGGACTCAAAACATAATCCATAATATAAAAACACGAGATCTCTCCAAAATGAAACAGGAAACATGAGAGGCAGACATGACAACATAAGACAACAGACATGAAACACACGAAGGGCAAGGGAGACTTCACAGGGGTTGAAAACACAAGGGGGAACTAATAAGCAAATGAACATAGGAGACCTGATGAGCTTAACATACTATAAACATCAAAATGAACTAAAACTCAAAACACTGGGTCCTAAGACCCAGGATCGTGACAGAGCCCCCCCTTCAAGGGCGGATTCCAGACGCCCCAAAACCCGAAAAACAAAACCAAAAACAACCCACCAAGGGCGGGCGGAGGGGGTCCAGGACGGAGGGCCAGAAACAAGGCCACAAAAACACAATGTCCATCAAAAACACAGGAGCGCAGGGAACAGTTCATAACTCAGGGGGCCGGCCCAGAGGCCGACAGCACAGGAGTTCATGGTCAAACAGTTCCGGGGGCCGACCGTGCGGACGGCAACGGCGGCGACATGGAAACAGTTCCGGGGGCCGACCGTGCGGACGGCAACGGCGTGGAAACTGTTCAGGGGGCCGACCGTGCGGACGGCAATGGCGTGGAAACAGTTCAGGGGCGACCGTGCGGACGGCTTTGGTGTAGAAACGGTTCAGGGGGCCGACCTCGACGGCGGTGACGTCCAGCTGGTGCAAAGGGCCGGCGTCTGGGTGCGCGGACAGCGAGGACGACGGGGGCAGCACGGGCACAGGAGGTCCGAGCTTGGGGAGACAGAGGCTGGACCAGCTGAAAGCAGAGGCTGGACCAGGCGTAGCAGAAGCAGAGGCGGACCAGACGAGGATGAAGACCTGACGAGGACCGGACCAGACGACGGCGAGGCGGCCGCAGGTGGAGCTGGACGGGCTCCTCGGCCCTCCAGCGGAGACAGGAGGCTGAACGGGCCCCTCGGACCCTCCAGCGGAGACAGGAGGCTGAACGGGCCCCTCGGACCCTCCAGCGGAGACAGGAGGCTGAACGGGCCCCTCGGACCCTCCAGCGGAGACAGGAGGCTGCGGCCCTGACCCCCAGACGGGCAGAGGCTGGACGGGCCCTCGGCCCTCCACGACGGGCAGAGGCTGGACGGGCCCTCGGACCCTCCAGCGACGGGCATGAGGCTGGACGGGCCCCTCGGGCCCTCCAGCTGACGGGCTGAGGCTGGCGGGCTCCTCGGCCCTCCAGCTGACGAGGCATGAGGCTGGACGGGCTCCTCGGGCCCTCCAGCTGAAGCAGTGGCAGGACCAGTAGGTGCCGAGACTACTGGCTGAACAGAAGGCTGAGCAGGTGATGGAGCAAATA